CGGGAAATTTTTATCATAAAATGAAATATCTACTTTCCGGAAAGTTGGTTATCTTTCCGAAAAAATAGACACCTACTTTCGGGAAAGTAGATTATCGACTTTTTCGAGGAAGTAGATTTTTCGAATTTTGGAAATATTTTGCGAAGTAGATTATCATAGAAAACGGGAAATTTGTATCATAAAAACTGGGAAATATCTACTTTCCGGGAAAGTTGGTTATCTACTTTCCCGAAAAGTAGATAGATTTTCTACTTTTCGGGAAAGTAGATTATCGACTTTTCGGGGAAGTAGATTTTCGAATTTTGGGGGAAATATTACCTAATTTTGCGAAGTAGATTATCATAGAAAAAGGGAAATTTGTATCATAAAAAATGGGAAATATCTACTTTTTGGGAAAGTAGATTATCTTTTTTTCGGGGAAGTAGATTATCGACTTTTTGGGAAATATTACCTAATTTTACTTAGTAGATTATCATAGAATACGGGAAATTTGTATCATAGAAAATGGGAAATATCTACTTTCCGGGAAAGCTGGTTATCTAATTTCCCGAAAAGTAGATTATCGATTTTTCGGGAAAGTAAATTATCAACTTTATTCTGGGCCAGAATCCTACCGTCTTCTGGGGCGGATTCCTTCCATCTTCTAGGGCAGAATCCTGCCGTATTCTGGCACAGAATCCTATCGTATTTTGGAGCAGAATTCTATCGTATTCTGGAGCGGAATCCTACCGGTGTAGCAGTTAAAAGTGAAGTGTTAGGTAAAAATAAAGTGTTTGCCCAACATATCGTACGGCACTCCCGGCAGAACGCTCTGAGATTCCGTGGTGAGCAGTGACTGATAGCATTATATTCGACTTCCATGCGTTAAATAGTAATTTCGATAGTAGAGGTGTGGTTATATTAGTGAGGAATTCTCTTATTTCTCTTGTAGACAATGCAAATTTCTTAATGATCACTAGACCTCCCTCTCCTCTCACTGGACCTCTCTCATATTAGTCAACCTCCCTCTCCTCTCACTGGACCTCTCTCATATTAGTCAACCTCCCTCTCCTCTCACTGGACCTCTCTCATATTAGTCAACCTCCCTCTCCTCTCACTGGACCTCTCTCATATTAGTCAACCTCCCTCTCCTCTCACTGGACCTCTCTCATATTAGTCAACCTCCCTCTCCTCTCACTGGACCTCTCTCATATTAGTCAACCTCCCTCCCCTCTCACTGGACCTCTCTCTCATATTAGTCAACCTCCCTCTCCTCTCACTGGACCTCTCTCATATAAGTCAACCTCCCTCTCCTCTCACTAGATTTACCAAACAGACGTGGCTCGAATTAGTTCGTTAAGTCAAGAAAATACTGTAAATAATCATTGGTTAAGTGAAGTGTAGTTTAACGGGACATCAGTTTTCGGGCTACACCTGTACAGTCCACCCTCGTTAATTCGAACTAATAAGGGGGGGGAGGGTGTCCGTTTTAGCCGATTGTCCGATTTAACCAATTTAGGTTAGGAAATATAGTACAGTATATACACTGTACGCTGAACATGATACACAGTAACAAAAATACAGGAAATACTGTACTGTAAACATCATATAACTAGCTATATAATACATTACAATATGTTAATTTCATTTACCTTTGGTAGATGACATATTCCATGGCGATTTCTAAATCGCCATAACCACCCGTCACTAGCTTTGAAATTCTCGATGCCCATATGACTTGCTAGCTTAACAGCAGCAGCTTGTATTTCTACACCACGGACGACATTACCACAGGATCGTTGCTGCACAAACCACTTCATCACTGCCTCCTCAAGATTTGTATCTTTTGCCACTCTTATACGCTTCCTTGCACCAACAGATGATGATTTAGAAGTTGCATCAACATTATATCTAAAAAAAAATGCAATGAGTTTGTCCTTAGCCTTGCATATGTCCAAAACTGTTTGCTTTTTAACACCATACTCATCACAAACTCTAGACACCAAAGCACCAGCCTCTAACTTCCTTATAAGTTCCAGTTTCTAGTTCCTCTTCGGCGTTTTACTCCCCCTTGAAGACATGATGTAAAATACAAGGCTGAAAGATGCCTAATCACTGAAATATCAATGAAAATTGCAGGGCATCACAACACTGATACTCGAATATGGCGCTAGGTCAACAATGACTGGCGTGACTCACGCGCGCACAAGGCCACTGCGTGACCCATCTATCAGACAATCCCAGAACCATAAATTTGGTATGGACTCGTCTATAACCCTCCCTCGTTTATAGGTCGACCCTGATTTTTTTACCCAAAAATCGTTAATTTATGATATTCCTTGTTTATAGGTCGACCCAAGTTTTTGAGGGTATTGGAACAACAAGACCTTCAGTAAAAACACTCTACGTCCTATAAACTGAGGCTCGCCGTGCCTGAAACACCGAGTGCCGAAGGCAAATTGTTTACCATTTATTATTACGACACTTTACACTGAAACGCAGGTAGTATTTATTCAAGTCCATTAGGAGGGAATATTATTGTATACAACAGTTTTTTAACTGAAAACCATTCGAAAAACGATTACGGTAAAATCTTTTGAACAACGAAAGAAAGCGCAAGTCATTGTTTTCGTCATGATTTTTTCTCTTTCCACTGTAATACGTACGTAATTTCAGCAAAAATATTACATTTCCATATTTATTTCTGAGAATATATTCATTCAGTCACAGTTAAGGTAAAATATACTTGTGATGTAATATTTTAATGAAAATACCCGGTATTTAGAAATACGGTATCGTAGTTTTCTTTTGTTTCAAATTTAATTAACAAAGATTGATGTTTCAAATGCAATGAACAAAGATTTATGTATCTATAAATAAACTTTAAAAAATGAATACTTTGTTTTACATCGTCCTGTGCTACCATACCATGCATTTGGCTACTTTGGGCTTGCTATGATGACGCAAGAGATCTGTCCTGGCAACTGTACCGACACTCACAGCTGGTGGTGTGTCGTTTCCATTGTTTACTGGTAGTTACTGGTATATAGTTTTCAACCTAATGAAACTATTACCCATTTAAAGGTCGACCCCCAATTTTTTGCCAAAAAATTTGGGGTCCACTAAACATGTAGCTATGTGTATGTATGTTTATTTGAGTGCCCCGTCATAGGAGTCCGTTTTCTCTCGCTTCAGGACGCCTGAGTCTTCCGTTTTCTTTCTTAATCTTAGAGTGCACCAGAGACTTTGTTAATCCTTAGTGATGACACAGAATTTGAAATTGCAACCCCAATTGCAACTGGGACAATCCCAGAACCAGAAATTTGATACGGACAGTTCAGATTTCGTACGATTTATCTGAAATCCTGATTAAAGGGGTCCAAATTAACGAGGGTCGACTGTAATTCAATTTTTTTTTCCCCCGGATAATGCAAAGTTCCAGGGATAGAAGATTCCAGCTAACAGGAAGATTAATATAGTATTTACATTAATAATATTGTAGTATATTAAATTTTCTTTAATGCCACTAATTATTTGAACTTGGGTAATAATAGTGAAACAATTATGGCTGGAATCAACAATTTGAAGTTGGATATTAGTTTTAATTTATTGATACAGTAACATACAAATCATGCCTCCTCCAATAATAATTTCTTTTGCTTTTAGAAATTTACCTTTATTGTTTGTTGACAATCCTAAAGTAAACAAATAATGCTGTATTGCTGAAATATAATCACAAGATATAGTGGAAAAAGGAAAGTAATTATATAATACAATACTGTATGTCCATAAAAAATATATATGTATGTATTCAACAATAAACCTTTTCAGTCACTAGTGCTTTCAGTAGAAGAGAAGAAAATTGTTCTGGAGCTTGTTCACCTTAGGACATCTCCCCACCTAGTTTGGTCAGCTGCAATACAAAACAATATTCAGTACATTGTATATATTAAATAGTATTTTGGTATCTTGTGAAACAAAATTATTAAAGATTAATAAAGTTATGTGAGCAACAGTATACACAATTGTTTATACACGACAGACATATATTGAAATTTTCTCAAAATCTTTCCCATAGCCGGAATTTTCCGGAAAATTATGGCCTTAGGAATGATTTTTCGAGAGGCACATTTTCCAGAAAATTCAGAGAAAATTTTCGTGATACCCGGAAAATTCCTGGGAAGGGTTTTTTTTCTGGTTTTGAGAGAGTCGTTTCGTTACCTGAAAATCTTTCATTCCCAGAATAAAGCCTCGAATAACAATGGTAATGTGTCCTCCAATATTGCAGTGTAAGGTCAATCATCGTATCGTGAATCATTTATTACCATTAAAATAAAGTAATAATAATGAGATGCATTCCAAAGTCTGACCTTTTCATATCTTTTGTGTGGCCTTTACCCTCTTTTCCTCAAAACAATAAAATTAATTAAAAATGCAAACTATCTTCTTTAAATAATGTTTCTGAATGCACCTTATACAATATAAATGAATAATAACATGGTCACACAAGAGGAGATGGCACTCCATTGTTGTTGTCCACCTGAAACTGAAGAAAATAAGACCCTGGTTGTTGTACTAAAATTTGTGTCAAAAATATGTTTTAATTCATGTTATTTAATGTACAGTAGAAGTAACCATTGATGTTAAAGAAAAATGTGAGCTGATAGAGGAACGCCAATGTATGTGTGCACTCAAGGAAACATAATATAATTTATTTTATTAAGAATATGTACAAAAGATTCATTATTGTTTATTACTGAATATGTATTTGATCGAATTAATGTTTATATATACAAAATGAACAATACTGTTATAACCCCCCTCTTTTCACTTCTTACCCAGCCTTCACCACTGGTTACCAGCGGCTAGGGTCGTATGTACAGAGCAGTAGATATCTCACAAAAGTTGTCGAATTACCAATGGCTGTCTCGCCAGTCTCCGGTAATTCCCCGACGATCAGTATCAGTGTACAGACAAACAACAGGCAGGTAGATTTCCACCAGGTCAAAGGAACACACTAGTGCACTGTAGTCTTCTTTAATAAAAAGACATTACCCTGTTAACAGGGTAATGTCTTCACAGATTAACTCCACACTTCAAATATATAAACAGCACACTACCAGTTTACAATTCCTTAGTCTTCTCACTTTATATTAATCACAACAGTTTCACAATACTTGCACAACAATTGTCTTCAGTTGTTCTGCTAGGCTTAGTCTTTACACTAAGTGAGGCGAGCAACTAACTGCCCCTAGGCAGCCCGTGCCATCTTATATACGGTTCGTTAGACACCTAGAACATTCTAGCGATTATCAGACGAAGGAGGTCGGCTAGAGACCCGCCTGGAGAATTCTAGAATTATCTAGAATTCTAGGCTTACAATAAGAGGTAAATTAAAAAAAAAATGATGCAATACATTCTAGAATATTCTTACATAATAAATACATCAATATATACATGAAAATTTCATTAAATTTACCCAAAATAACTGCTGAATGGGACAAAACAATATCAAAACACCTAATTTACAAGATTATAATAAAAAATTATGTCTCGGCATAACAATACAATTCATTAATAATACATAGAATACTAAAACACACAAGAGGAGACGAGACGGCATTGTTTTCGTTAGCGTTTACACCTGTGACGATGGGTCTACATAAGAAACTGAAGAAAATAAGACCCTGGTTGTAGCTGCAGTAAAAATAATGTAAAGATTGAAGATGTATGTTTTAAGTAATGTTATTTAATGATTATAAATGGAACAATATAAGTAGCTAACCATTAATGGTAAGGAAAAAAGCGAGACGGATTGGGAACGCCTTCATATGTAAGTGCGTACATGTGAAACATATCGTCATTTCTCTACGTAAGAATATGAAAGCAACACTTATTACTTATGAATGTAAAACAAAAACTCTACTCACCAATGGTGATAAAATCTAAGAAATAAGGACAGCCAATGAATGTTGGGTGAGTTTTTGCTCAGATGACAAAGGAAGCATGTTCAACTCTGGCTGAAGATGTAGCTTTCCATAAAGATGTCATAGCTGTTGTTGAAACTGTTACTGAACCTGAAGTTTTTGTTGAAGCTGCTTATGATGCTGAATTTGATGGTGTAGATGAAATTGATGGTATAGGCTTTTGAATTAAAAAGCTGTCAAAAAAACCTTCCACAGCTGCTTTCTTTTTTCACTATACATCTTTATGTAAGGGCCATATGCATTTTTCACGTCCCTCTTAATTTTAATGGTTCGTTCTGTTAATGGATCCACTTCAGAAAATATATTCATTACTTGCTCCATATAATATGCACAGACCTCTCACCCTTTTCATATCATTTTAAAACATCTAGTTTCTCAGCTAAACATACACTTTCTTTTAGCTTTTGAACCAGCACTACCATCACTTGTTCTTTTGCTCGTGTTGAATAGATGCAAAAATGCTGTAAGAAACCTGAGAAAGTTTTTCTCCTGTTCCTGTTCAGATGCGTGAAAACAAAAGGCCCGCCAAGCTGCATCCCTGCTTCTGTTTATACTAGTGATGCTGGAGTCGGCACTCACAAGCCCAGCAGCCTCTGTGCACAAGGCGTTTTTTTTTTTTAATACATATCGGGATTTACGTAGTTATTATTTATAAGAAAAATTTAATTTAATTTTATTTTTTATTGTATTTTCGTCATAAATAGGAAGAAAATACACTAATGGTGTAAATTGAATCGGGTACTAAATAAACCAGGGTCTTAAATAGGAATCGTCGTTAGTAGAACCATTGTTATCAGAGGCTTTCCTGTATACAGTGGTCCCTCGGTTAACGAGCGCCTCGGTTAACGAGATTTCGGTTAACGAGTTACCTTCCATAAGATTCTTAACTTCGGTTAACGAGCAATCCCTCGATTAATGAGTTTCTTACGAGCCGACCTGAACATGTTTTCGCTTGCATTTGGCGGTCCACCAGCCATAGTATTAGTCCGCCAATACAGTAATCGGTTCTAGGGCTTAAATTCCTTACCATTTTAGCAAATATCAAGAAGTTTATACTATTCAATAATTTTAAAAGTTTAATAATAAATTTTTTAGTCATTTTAACAACTATTGAACATAATTGAAGGTAATGAAACTAGTTTTATGCACAACATCCAGCCTCTCAACACACCAGACAGGCATTAGTCTCTCTCTGTTTTCAGTGGAGGTAACATCTTGCTTGAGACTCTCTTCAACTAAACTCTTTTTTTTCTGTGTTTGCAAGCAAATTATTGATCATTTTGAAATTTATTTTACATATTGACAATATATATTGCAGTGCAGTGTTGATTTAAAGAAAATAATCTTGAATTGCACCAAGAGAACTAAAATTTTATGGGTGAAATGGCACCATGGGGTGACTTCTCTTCCACCCCAATGCCTTTTCTTCTCCCTTCTTCTCCACCCCCATTCTAATTCCCATCATCATCATCATCATCATCCAGGAGCCTTCTACATACACACCTCAAAGTAAGTTTATTTTTCTACCCTTTTTGTTGAATTTAGGCAATTTTCGGTGAGCTGGAACCAATTACCCAAAAACCCATTGAAACAATGGTTTCGGTTAACGAGTTTTTCGATTAACGAGCAACCTTCTAGAACGGATTGTGCTCGTTAACTGAGGGACCACTGTATATACCCATAAACCATGATTACTATCACAGGTGCTCCTCTACTTACGAACGAGTTACATTCCTGAGGATTGTTTGTAAGTCCAACTTTACTCTTGTAGATACCAAACATATTGTAAAAAATGAAAAGATTATGGATATTTAGTACAGCTATACCCTTTAATACAGCATTAAAACCTGCCTCACTCTTCTGCTCTCAGGAAATGTTTGTTCTATCTGGAATTTTCTTCAAAATAATCGTCTCATCCACATTAAACACCTGTTCTGGCAGGTAACCCCTCTCAGTGATGATGTTTGTATCTCTGAAAGTTTGTAAGTTGAACCTTCTTAAGTAGAGGAGCACCTGTATAATAGTAACCATGATTTATGGGTACGGTATACTGCAGCGATTTTCAACCAATGTGCTGCGGCACATTAGTGTGCCGCGAAGCATCCGTAGGTGTGCTGCGGGAGTTTAAATAGCACTTGGATAGCATTTTAAAAAATAGGATTTGGATACGTTTTGACTTTACTGGTACTTTTATGGAGCACATTAAACTCCTTTTTTTTAATGATGCAATAAATAAACAAATGTGTTGTTCATTAAAAGACCAAATGGCAGTTTTAAATTGTCTCCTTAATTCCGTAATGTAGATCCGCCGATCAAATCTATCCTTAAATACTGATGGTGTGCCTCGACCATTTTAGTGCCTGGCTCATTGTGCTGTGAGATGATAAAGGTTGAAAATTACTGGTATACTGTATAATGGAAGACAGCACATGTGAAAAGTCTTGCCAGAGTGAAAAAATAAATAAAAATTATATATATATATATATATATATATATATATATATATATATATATATATATATATATATATATATATATATATATATATATATATATATATATATATATATATATATATATATATATATATATATATATATCTTACCTGTATGACAAACTGTTCAGCATTAATAACATCAGTGCAGCCATAAATGATTCTTTTGTTGTTAGTTCCAGCTTTTTTCTTGGCATAACTGACAAGATTATTATACTCCATGTAGTTACCACCACCAACAACAAACACCACAGCATCCTATATCATAAAGAGAAAATACATACACACTATAAAACAATAGAACAAGAATAATCCCTTAAAAATCAATTGCATATGATAAAAACCAAACACATTGAAAAAAAATTAAAACTATTCAGTTACCGTATATCTCGGCCTATAAGGCGTCGGGGTGCATAAGACGGCCCCCCAAATTTCCATTTAAAAAGTAGCTTTTGAGCTCTATTCGCTGTATAAGACCAGTACCCCAAATGTGACACTTACCCACTGACTCAGTAGTCCTTTACCAACCATCCTTGGTTTTCTAAAATAAGGCCAATTCACTTCAAGTAATGTCATCAAATGTTACCAGCTGGTGTAGTGTAAACACTAGTGACGTCACTTAAGCGTCTGTATTTAACTGTCAGTAGTTTCAAGAATTAATGCAGTCATTTACTGAATATTCCTTGTAAAAAAATAAATTTTAAATTAATTATTTATAGGAAATAAGTATTATTATCAGTAAATATACCGATATGCATTACTGACCACCTCCACGGCTAAAAATAGCCCAATCTCGCGGTCACTTTCCCTTTCTTGTCTCCTCACTGGCAAATGGGGAGGGCGTGGGGAGGGGTGTGTGATGATAGCTGTGTTTATTACAGGGGTATAATTCTCATTTACGGTATGTTAGACAGGTTTATAATACATTTTTATTATTTTAATATACCGGTAATCTTAATTTGAATCCAGCTTGCCAAACGTAAGTTTCAGTATAAATAATTAGTGGTAAGACCTTGTGAGTGACTTACGATGTTTCCATCACCACTCTTGACACACTAAACCACAATATTTAAGAGGTAAGAATTTTATACTTGGTGATTTAGATGACCCCCTAACTTTGGGCAGATTTTTTTAATGTTCAAATTCCATCTTATAAGCCGAGATATACGGTAGTTTGTCTGTTGATAACTCAGTCAACACAATGCAAGAGAAATAATATTTAGTATATATATCATTATTAAATTATTAGAATAAACCAAGGTACTTGATTTTTCAAGTGATATGATAATGCAAATATGAAACCCTTGCCTGAAATGGGGTTCGTGTGCGAGGGGTTGCTGCTCCATCACCCGGGCGCAACAGTTTGGGATCAAAATAGCGATACTCTTTCTCTTCTTCACAGTTTTTCAGTTCCATCAAATGATCCACAATTCTTGTGATAGGAAGTTTCTGTGATAAATTAACAACAGAGCAACAAACATGAATAGTTCTGGTTATGGTAAATTGGAATTAAGATTACATTAAGCACATCCAAAATCAATAAAAACCCTACAAGGTGCACATACAAATTTTCTTCTGAAATAGTTTCAGCTGACCTGCTACTTGCTTTTATAATGTAACTCTTCAAACCATCAACTGGCTTTAAAATTGTCCACATTATACATGTTCAATAGTCAATTCTCAAATGCAATCATTTCTATTTCACCTATCTGGTAACACTTACATTTATTACACCTATCTGCTAACACTTACATTTATTTCACCAATCTGGTAACACTTACATTTTCCTTTAGTACAAAGTTGACACCTTCAACAACCAAAGCAGATCCCTGGTTCATCAGCTTGGAAAACATGGACACTGTTTTGGCCACTCCACCTGTGTACTCTGACATGCCAGCACCTGCAGTCATCTGTGCGTGAGTGAGTCAAAATAAATAAATCAATCAATAAATGATTCCCAGAGAAGTAATTTTCCAAAAATTTACGGCTTTAGGAAAAAAAATTCCGAGGTGGAAAATCGAGAGCATTTTCTGAAAATGTATTGAATAAAGACGAAAGTTAAAGTATTTTGGGGGACCTGACATGACTCAATGTCAGGTGGAGGTAGGGTGGGGGATTAGTGGTCTCTTATTACTGACCTTTGGATGGAATGTCAGGTCACCCTTTCTTAGGTGAGGGATTAGTGGGTCTCATGACCTTAAGATGTTTTAAATAAACATAAATGAGTCAAGTTGTACCCCTTCAATATTACGTTACATAACATTTTAAAATATGAAGTGAGAAAGCGGAATGTTACGGAGTATTTCAAAAAAATTCTTTGACAAGTACCCTTCACATACAGTAAAATACTTAGTTACCTTGTCATTTAAGGATATCATTTTGGAAATGTCTCATAGAGGATCATTATGGTATCAAATTCATCTCTTTAACACAAATAAAGATTATAAAGAATGCTGTGAGGTAGGGGGGAGAGGGAGAAGGGTCCATTAAACGTGACTGTGCCGCCACCCTCCCTCAAAAGGTCACCTCACTGTTTGTCAACTGTACTGACTCATACATGATACAATATTGTTTATTTGAGTTTCATTAATTAGTAAAGATATGTTACTGTAATAATCTGTGCTTATTAATACCTGTACTCTTCATATACAATACAGTACAGTACTTTGTATATACCTCATCGATAAAAAATAATATTATTCAAGACATCTTCAGGTCATAACATCCACTAATCCCCCACCCAACAGTGGGTGACCTGACATTGCATCAGGTTAGGTTAATAACATGACCCAATAATCTCCCACTCAACCTTCATCACAAGTGTTAAGACGTGATTTCAGTTATGTATTAGTCAACTGAGTGAAGTGTCTGCCTACTCTCGGTTAAAGATGACAGGATCTGCTGGTAACTACGATATATACAGTAGTATACATTAATTGTGTTTACGGTTTGAACAATATTGTACCAGACAGTGGTGTTTGCATCAATAACTACAGCTCACCCCACAAGGGGTCACAGCTCAAAGTTAAAGAAGCTTCAAGTCCAGAAAACTGTGATGACAAAATTTTTCCGAGTAAAAGTTGTGAACTCTTGGAACAACCTGCCAGAGTGTTGTGATGGCACCGAGTGTGAGCTCTTTCAAGACCAGAATTGACCAACACTGGAGCAGTTCAGGTACATTCAGGAGCCAATGAATGCCTAGTACTTGCCAACAGTGCTTAACAGAGACATGATCGATCGTCCATGCGGCTAACAAGCCGATCAGTGGCGAAGAGGATAAAAGTAAGCAAAAGTAACACAGCTCTATTCATGCACATATCACATAAAGCTTTTGTTTTTAAATATATATTATATCACCAAACTTTTAGATAAAGTATTCAGAATTATTTTGCTAAAAAATGGTATGTGTCAAACAAAATTAAAGCTGATTTTACTGACTCTGGTATCAACATTTATTTTCTTTTTTTAATAAAAGAATGGAATTCCAATTAATATATCATATTGAAATATTTTGTTTAAGCATATCCTATTGGAAACGTCTCATAGAGAATTTATTAAGGATCATTATGGGATCAAATTCATCTACAGTACTTACCAAAATTAGCCATGCTTGAGTGAGGAAAAGGGGGGGGGGAGGAACTGACCACGTGACCCTACCCCCTAAAAAGGTTCACTTCTGTCAACAACACTCGCCCACAAAAAAACACGCGACGACAAGATCAAGACGCACGCACGCACGCACGCACGCACGCACACACACACACACACACACACACACACACACACACACACACACACACACACACACACACACACACACACACACACACACACACACACACACACACACACACACACACACACACACACACACACACACACACACACACACACACACACACACACACACACACACACACACACACAGAGCAATTTGGCAACATGAAAACTTCCTCCACCACTCACTGTCTTGTCAGCTTTCTCGATTACATATACCGCCATCTCGAGAAACGAAAAACGTCTGTAGCTGTCGCCTTCATTGATTTCACTAAAGCGTTCGACCTAGTCGACCACAATATAATCATAAACAAAGCTATTGACCTCGGGCTTCGGAGAAGTCTAATACCATGGCTTACAGACTTCCTCAGTGACCGACGCCAAGCTGTACGCTTCCGAGGGGCTGTCTCCACCTTTCAGTCACTCACCTGTGGCGTCCCCCAAGGCACCAAGATGGGACCACTCTGCTTCCTTATGCTCATCAATGATGCCCAAAGAGAAACCCCTGCTCGCTGGAAATATGTCGACGACTCCACCATTGGGATCAGCGTCAACAATTCTGCTCCCAACTATACCGCCCTCCAGGATTTATTGAACAGTCTCCAAAACTGGGCCACCAACAACCATGTCACCATCAACCATACCAAGACCATGGTTATGCACATCAACCTCTCCTCCGACATTGTCCCACCTCCTTCCATTACCCTAGGTCCGAACACACTCCAGGTTGTAGATTCCACGAAGCTCCTCGGCGTCACCATAGACAACAAACTAAATTGGAAACCACACGTCAGTGAAGTTGTCAAATCCTCCAGTTTCCGTCTCCACCTCCTCCGCCGACTCAAGTCCCTCGGAGTTCCCGCACACGAGCTCCTCAGTGTATACACAACATTCATACTTCCCAAGCTCACCTATGCCTCCCCCACCTGGTCTTCCTCCCTAAATGCCACACAACGTAAACACCTAGAAAAAGTGCAAAAGAGGGCATGCAAGATTATTCTCTCCCCTTCCTACTCCACATATCAAGAAGCGCTCAACACACTGACCCTTTCGACTCTCACTGACCATCACCACGACCTCATCTACAAATTTGGTAAGAAGCTTCTACACCATCCCCGACACCGGCTCCTACTACCACCTGACATCCCCTGTCCGAGAATTGCTGTTCGACACCACAACCGCATCCAGCCCATACGTGCACGAACTGATCGCTATAAGAACAGCCCAGTCCCAACCATTGTAAAAATTATCAATAACATGTAATAAATCAGTGTATTCACTCCCGGTAAACACTGCTCCTTACACTGTCACTATGTTGAAATGAACTGTAGTTTGAGCTGATCCCCATCTAAGTTATTATATGTCTTATTTGTGTCACTTATGTTACTTGTATATTATTTGTAATTCGTAACCCATTCCCCAAATATGTAACTGTAAATTTTCAGCCTTCTGGCTGCCAAGCTCTTTCAATAAACCGTTAATTATTATTATTATTATTACACACACACACACACACACACACACAACCACCACACATCCCAACATCATACACACCCCTAACATTACACACTCCAACAACCACCCACATTACACACTCCAACAACCACCCACATTACACACTCCAACAACCACCAAACCCCTCACCCCCAACAAGGGAATTAAGAGAGCAAACATGAGGGTTTTATTGTATGACACATCTGCGTGTGCGCGACTTCAAGGTAGCAAGTTAAATGTCAGCTATTGAGGAGCGCTTGGCAACACTCATTTCCACTCCATCTCTCTAATTACCCACACATTTCTGCTTTCTCACTCCAGTCAGCATCAGGCGACAGTAAGAAAACCTGGAATATCATATATTCTATTCAGAACAGGAAAACTCAGCCTTCGGCCCCCCACTCAGCTTTTATGATAAATGATTCAGTTGTAACGGAACCCTCCCTCATTGCCAACCACTTCAATGAATACTTTATTAATGTTGGCAAAAATCTTGCCCAGAGCATCCCTGATCACCATGAGGAATTTAGAGCCTACCTGCAAAACAGACAGCAAAATGAGCTGTTTCTATCCCCTGTCACAGCAGATGAATTACTGGCCATCATAAAAATGTGCAAAGATGCAGCAGCAGTTGAAGACAATAGTATACCAATGAGCATCATTGAGAAAGTAGCCCACTTATTACTACCTGTTCTCTTACACATCTGTAATTCCTCCTTCACTAGTGGTGTCTTTCCGGATAAACTGAAAATTACTAAAGTTCACCCAGCATATACAAAATCTGGTGACAAAGGTCTTTTCAAGAATTACCGTCCCATATCAGTCCTCCAGGCCTTAAGTTAGATAATGGAGAAGCTAGCATGTAGTAGACTAAATTCCTTCTGCAAAGCCAATAACATCTTTACAATACTCCCAGTTTTGATTTAGAGCTAGAAGGTTGACTGAGAGTGCTCTGCTATCCTTTGATGACAGCCATTTCACAGTCAGTATATTCTTGGACATTTCTAAAGCCTTTGATACTGTTGACTATACCATCCTCCTTTCAAAGCTTTTTTTACATCGTTAAGGGCCTGTCCCACAATTGGTTTACCTCATATCTGTCCAACAGGAAGCAGTATGTCTGCTATAATAATCACCAAACTGACTCCTCGCCAATCTTGTATGGCGTCCCCCAAGGTTCCATTCTCGGTCAAATAATGTTTTTGTTGTACATAAACGATATAGTCCAAGCCAGCTGTAAGGGCGGAAACGATCTTCCTGCTCGTTACCGCTGCTAACTCTCTCGTTTGCTGGTGCGGACGACACTTGGGGCGGTTGGACAGAGGTGCGAACGGCAGCGTCTATCTGGGTCACCGGCAGATTCAACCCAGCCGCCATACAGCCACTATCTAGCTACCCCGCTGTTCGTCAAATTCTGGCTGTGATCTCATCATAGGTCCTGGACTCGTGGGCTGTGTCCCCAGACCTTCACCTATCGACTGTCAATTCTCTGGTCATCTACCACTACCATACCACGACCGTCAGTTCATCTCATTCCGTCTGTGCCCCGGTGTTCTGCCATTTCAAGACGTCGCTCGAGTGTGGAGTTGAATGGACGCTTCCCTAACCTGAGTGTGGATCACCGTGTTCCAGAACCTTCCCCCAGGGCCACTGCCGTAGGAAATATCTGTTCATTGTTTGATTCTTTCAGTTGTTGACTCCCATTAATTGTTTGATTCTATTAATTGCTGACTCCCATTAATTGTTTGCTCCCTTTAATTGTTTGCTTCCATTAATTGTTTGACTCCATTAACTGTTGACTGCCTTAATTGTTTGACTCCCGTAATTGTTATTTGATGTTTGTTGAGTGGTGTCAGAGTTTTGTGTTATATTTTTATAGTAAAGAGATGTCAATCTCAAACGGTTGTTTGTTATTCCTCAGAAAACCATGGCCCTTGACTTTCCTTTATTAAGATCCTGATTAGCCTGGTAAGGGATTTCTATCCCCAAAGTCCCAGGCCTTTACACCAGCACACTCTTAAAATACAACTTATTTGCAGACAATAGTAATCTCTATGCCAGCAACTCAGACCTTCATTCTTTCATGAGAACCATGAACACTGAAATGACTAAAGTCAGGTGGGTAATACGTAATAAATTGACCTTAAACCTCGAAAAAATCCATTACACGATCTTTCACAGAAGGAAAAACTTACCCCCAGATTTGGACCCCCTGTAACTTGGTAATACAGTCCCCAAATGTGAACAAAATACTAAATTTCTGGGGGTTATTGTTGATGAGAAACTTAATTGGAGAAACCACATGCAAGCCATTCATAGTAAAGTCAATAAACAGTGCGGTATCATGTATAACACTCGACAGTCACTCACTCTTGCAGCAATGAAAGAAATCTATTATGATCTTGTTTCCCAACACCTGATACACTGCCACACACTATGGGGGCTTCTGGCTCTTCAGAAACACAATCCCTGGTTACTGCACAAAAGAGCATTTTGCAGACAATGACCTACTTGAAAAAAAAAATGATCACACAAATGAACAATTTGTGAAATTGAAAATGTTAAAATTTGAGAATATTAACACCTACTGCTGTGCCCTATTTGTTTACAAATCTGCCAATCAATTGCTTGATAAAAATTATTTCCAGTTCCAGATTAATCAGAGATACAACATAAGGCACCAAGAGCTACTAGGCCCACCCCCCATTTGCTCCTCTCAGTCCCAGACCTCCAAAAAATATCATGGTGTGAAGGTGTGGAACTACTTACCCCACCCATTCGAGCAAAGGCTATGCTCCCTTCCTTTAAAACATCTCTTAAAAAATATCTATTGTGTAAGTATTAATATTTCTTGTAATACCTACTTTATATACCTGCTTTTATTGTACCATCAAAACTGTTTTATCAGAAATTATCATGTAGACAGATAAGAAATATTTACCAATTAGAAATAATCCTGACAGCCCTGTCCTCTTGTTCAACCTTAATACAACTCATGTTGTACTGCTTTCCTCATTGTATTTACGTTTTTTTTTTCAATTCCACTATAAGTTATGTGTATACAGTACTTATAATATAAATGTAAAAAACATAAAAAATAAATAAATAAAATGAATAAATAACGAAGTGATAACCGTGGTAACATTCTGATATGTTCTTATTACCACCATGCTACGTGTACTATTCCAGATGATACTAAAAGTTACATAATACTTCCTTGAAATAAATGTACAACATATATCAGGTGCCTACAAGAGAGCTCTGGCTCTCAACTGGCTCAGCCATGTTAATATTATGATTTTTTTAATTGACTCTGTTTCTGTGTTCTGCTGGCTAAATATACTGTTTCATTATCAATATCTGTTTCAATATCAACACATAAGTACCACGATCACACCTGGTAGTAGGTAGTAAGCAGCTATAAAACAGGGAGGTACTACTGCCTGGGAAGATATTGGAAGCATAATGTGTTGTCTAATGGTACACCCTGCTGCCATATGACATCACAAAAATTGTGACCAAGTCCCAGGTTGCTGATCTGACTTTCTGCATAATTTACACACACTTCCAGGTTTTCAATCGTTATCTTACTTTGGCAACACAACGTACATACTATATATCGTTTTCCAAAAGTGATCTTTTTTCATTTTGTATTTCTTTATGGTTCTTTATTATTATTATTATTTTATTATTATTATTAATATTATTATTATTATCCGTATTATTATTATTACATTTTCACCCCCAGGCCCCAATGTGGGGCAAGTAGGTTACACTACATCTCCTGTTCACAACTTCACACACTCTAATAAAAAATATCCAACCCGCTCGCTGATGTCATCAAGATGGCCGCCAAGAGTGACTATCAACTTGCGCTACTGATCGCTATTGTATTGAAATGTATCGTTAATGTGTCGCATTTCATTAATTTTGTAATTGTGATGAATCGTTATTGTGACACTCGTTAAAGAGAAGTATGTGATATTTGGGGCACTTTTAAGTGCTTTCTATTTTGTCTTGGTGACACACTTTTCCCCACATGAACATATTTCTAGTTATATACAATAATGGGTGTAGTATAGTTAAACAAGTTTATTTTGAGGTGCATAAAACATTTCATGAACTTCTCTATTAAATAAATAAAAATAGGGGAAACCTGTACTACCCTTCCAGAAGTACAGTAACATTTAAAAACTCCTAAAATAAATTAACATAACCTTCCATAAGTACCTTACTGTAACATTAAGAAAACTTTCACTAACTGCTTAACAAAAATATAAGTCAAAACTGGTATAGTAGATCAAGAGTTGACCGATGTAATGACAAACACACTAAGTAACCTTTATCCAGCTTACAAGACCATAAAAAGAACATGTTTTATACAACCTTCATTAAGGACTTCCATCTCTTCAGATAAAGTAGAGCCTTAGTATCAGCGTCAGATTCTGTGAGTGCTGTAGCATACTCATTAAACTCGGCATCTGTCATGTTGTTTGAGCACAGGAACATTATCATGAAGATGCGCAGTTTGTCCATTGCATTACCACACTCTGGATCCTTGATAACCTGTAACAAATATAAAATTAAATCATAAAACACATTTATATCCAACCAACACGACATGATAACCTAAAAGAAAATATTATATACAAAACAACTTACTAACAATAATTAAGCTGTTGGTGACCAAGCTGTAGTATATCTTAATTTCATTCTATAAAATACAAAAATATTTAAACTACTGCTAAAAGATTCTTTCATTTGTTAAGAAATAACTTAATAATACAGCAAATTCCATCCAATTTACTGTAAAAGTATCTTAGGTAGTTTTAAACACCTGAAGGAGTAAAGTCCTTGTTGAGGCATGGCGTTACATTAATGTTGCAGCAGTGCTACACTCACGGAAACCTTTGTTCGCTAACCCCGAGGTAAGTGGGGTAGAGCAGACCGAGGCAAGCGAGGAGAGGCAGTAAGTGGCAGCAACACTAATGGGCACGGTGGAGGCAGCACGGTCAGTCCCAACACCGGGAGTTTTTAATGTTCAAGTTAAAGATTTGCAAGAAATTATTGGTCAACATCAGCAGCAAACGACAATTGAAGAAATGTTGGAGGAGGATGAAGAACAAGAAGAACTGCAAACAACACAAGAGGATGACGTTAAGTCTGGTGAACCTACATCATGCCAGCTGACTGAATTGCTCACCCACATCGCACGTCTCTGTGAACAGCTACAAGAATACGATACCAGGCCTCATCCTCGGAACCTTTTCTGCCCTGTCATTGATAAGGTTATAGAGGAATAGAAAGCCATGTACACTCGGTAAAAAACCTACCATTACAATTCTTGCACAAAAGAAACTGACACTACAAACGAAGTGTTTCAAAAAAGCCCCCGAGGCATTCCTTGCATTGGTAGCCCTGCTCGTGTACGGGTTCGGTCACACGTGCTCGAAACAAGTGATGGGCACTCTGAAACAAAACCCAGTACAGTACTAGACTTTCCGGAATTATTTACCGTATGGTAAAACGTTGTTGGGCCGGGTTCCATTATGACGACATGTGAAACTGTGGAGCTATTCAGGTGTTTGGGAACAGCTTGGTGTATTTTCCAATATGAATTAAGAATGACATAATGTGGCATTAGCCCAAAGTGAAGTAGGGATACAAATACAGATTCGAAATTCAGTTGCAAAATAATCGTGTACCTTTACTATATCCACTAATGCCAAACATATAAGGCATTCCTATATGGCAACTCATCCACTTCCATGGTGTGTGGAACATTTAATATAAGATACAGTTTAACTTATACATTCTCTAGTCATATTGTAACAAAGTAATTCAATACTGTCAATGAAATAGCTAATTTCAGCCAACCAAATTAAGTACAAAATGTCTCACATTCAGGCCTACCAACCCTCGCGAGACAACAGGAATTTTCAGTTGAAAAATCATCGGACTCCACCCGTACGGTAGTTCTTTTACCGAGTGTACATGTCCCGTGTTAATGCTCTTCAGCGGGCCCTTATAACTGTTAATGCCTTGGCAAACATCACTTTAGGAGATGATGACTTACTGATGAAGAGCTACCTCAAGATTTTTAGGGATTTGATGCTGAGATTAGAGGAGGTGTAGAGGCGAGAGCAGCGATTAAGCAGTAACCAGCCCTCCCTGCCTCGGAACCTATCAACCAGCCCCGTCAAGCATTTCACCGACTCCATCGAGGAAAGTTATTCTACAGTATGAGTGATATACCGGTAAATATTGTTAGCAACAATATGTACAATATTAATATGTTTGAATACAATACAGTACGTTATGTAATTTTCTGGGTGGGTTGTAGATCGTTACAGGGGGGTTTAGGTGACCGACTGCAGAACAGAATAGGCTTATTTACCTGTATTTAAATGTCGATCGTTTGGCAATTTTAAGTTTTGAGATCTTACACCGGTACCAATTAGTCGCTAAACTCGAGATCCTACTGTATATAGTTTGACATTTACTGTAATACCTTAACATCTGATGGGTTTGTCCTGTAAAGGTATTCAAGTACTGTAGTGTGTTTTAACTTACACAAAGCTCAATGTGGTGCATAATCCAACAATAAATTAACATTACACCTTTGGTGTTGAACAATACAGTACTATATAACAAACTGGCAAAAAAATCCATACAAAGCTCTCACATCTGGCTTCACATTGCCATAATGCTAATTCCTCTTCTGTGTATTCCTAATATGGTTAAGTTTATTGTAAATAGAATAATGCATATTTAACGTAAACAAGTACAGTACAGTAATAGAATACCCTGACAACATTGTGGACTAATTATATAAACTGAGGAACTTGCACTACAGTACAGTATATGTTTATTATTATATCACCACTGTCAATGTTTTCTCATTTTGATTGTTGTTTACGTTTTTAACAACAAATATAAAATTAATTGTCGATTGATTAAATAAATGACATTAAATATGGCATAATTAGGGTGACATGAAACAAAAATACGCAAAATGGCATTTCAGGAGCTGATGACAGTACATGTAGTGCTCCTGTACATCTTTAGTTGCCTGGAGCTGATGACAGTACATGTAGTGCTCCTGTACATCTTTAGTTGCCTGGAAGTTTGTCATGACAGTACATGTGCTCCTGTACATCTTTAGTTGCCTGGAAGTTTGTCATGACTTATTTTTGGTCAATTTATATTAAATTGCGATATATCTTTAATCATCGCTGGGAAGACAATATTCAGATATAAATTATTCAAATCAATATTTTGTATAAGCACCTCCAGCCTCGCTCGTGTTGTTTAACCTTTGAGGCGTTAATGCCACCTGGTCCCGTCCATGTCGTTCGCAAGATTATAATAGACTTCTAGTTATCTGGTGATGCTAACATGGTTATGTTGGATATCATGGGTTCCCATCTTCTGCATCATCGCTCCCTTTTGCTAACTTTTAAAAGTGGAATTTGCCCGATTTGGAGTTGAAAAATTATATGTTTTGAATGTGATTCAAATACTCTATTTGAAAATAAAACAAAACAAGGATAAGGGAAATGACATTGTTATCATGCTTACCAACTTACTGAGATGACAGGAGAGGCAGTGTTCAGTTTAAAATCCATTGCACCCACCCAGAGGTAACACTAATGTAACTGTACCTTTCATACAGTACTGTATGTGACTAAAACACATGGCTATCAACATGAAATGAAGTGTAGAATCATTGCTAAATATCTTAAAATATATGCTGGGTTTGTATTGAAAACCCCCCACATCAAGAACAAAATATAAACCTTGATAAGAACTATTATCTGCAGGGAGGCCAAACACCTAACCTATTATCATCAGCTCACCTCCAGTAAAGGTCTCTCAAGGGTGTTGCGGCCCATTATCTTCTCCTCCATCTCGAAGAAGACGTCCAGTTTTCTTGATTTGATACTGTTTAGCAAGGCTGTTTAGGGAAGAGTTAAATCTCACTATAATCTTATTCAATATATTAGTCCATCAAGTATTAACTTAGTCCACTCCTAAAGAAATATGGTACAACATATCCCATGAAATTTATATTAATACTGCAAATAAAAAAGTATTTGAACGAAAATATATATATATGAGCATAAATAAATAGTTGCTTTTTTAATAAAATAAAATAAAACGTAACAGAATTAATTCCAGTGAAATGTTTGGATGCATCAGGTCAACAGGTTAGACCCTCCTAAGTACTGCAATGGTTGGCACTAAACCACAATATGTATATCTTTCTGGTTAAAGTAAGACTCCTCTAAGTCAGACTTCTGGAGGTCAAAAATCCCTGTAAGTCTGAGGAGCTCTGGCTTAAGTGGGGTTGGGTAGGGCAGCAGTTGGATGAGGTGTCAGTTCTCGGTTGTTTGCTGTTGTGACAGCTGATCTGCTGTGCACTTTTTTTTGTATTCAGTGGTTCCGATGTACTAGTATAGCTTCTAAAGCAAGCAAAGACAAAACAACACCACTGAGGGTCACTGGGAGAAAAGGAATAGTACTCCCAACTCTACCAACTGAAGAGAAACTGAAGATATGAGACAGAATCAATACTTGGGTCTCCATGAATGTTGTCTGAGGAGTTTGGGCTGAAGTGGATTATTTTTTATGACATCAGCTAAATATAAAGTACAATTAAAATATAAGTGTGAATATACGTACTGTAATCGTAAGGAGCCTCCCATTGTTCTCCACCTCAAGATTCATCTTAAAGAGCAGTGTAAATGCATTCAGGTATCAATCGCTTTACGAATGTTTGATATACAAAAATTTGCTTAATACCCCCAGGAATTAGCTGGGGCAGCCGTCTTGAAGAATACACAAAGATGTATTCTAGCTCACTCATCATAACAGATCCACCTCCATCCCACATCTCCCCCCAGCCCGCATCTTTTGTTCCACTATTCCCAAACTCTTGTGGTGAGCCCTGATTGCCCTCCCTTAAGGTAACTGCTCCCACCATTCAGTTCATTTGATTGAATTCACAGCAGAGGTTGGTGGTGTGCTTATTTAAGTGTTATACTAAACATCACTGGCAGCATTAATGCAAAGTTAGATTCATCATTAGTCACATTCCCTTAGCCCTCTCTTTACCGGGTCGAGGTGTGATTTTTTTTTTTCCAACTCATAATTTGGGGTAGATATATGTAACTTTCTTCAGATATTAAGGGGTTGATGGTGGGTATTCAAGTATATACCTGCTTGGGTGGTTGTGACATTATGAGGGCCCAAAAACCTCTGTGACAGTAAATGGTGAGGAAAGTGAGGTAAATGTAGAAGTCCATCAGGGTCTGTCTTGAGCCCCCTTCTATTTATCATGGTTCTGGACACAATATCACACTACTTTAGGACTGGCTTTATCTGGTACAGGTTGTACCTCTCTAGTCCGGCATTCTGTGGTCCGGAAACTCCCGTGGTCCGGAACGATTTTAGTTTGTCCAATAGGTAGATAGGCAGCTCTTTTTTTTCTTTCTTTTTTTTTTTTTTACTATCTGAATTATTATTATTATTATTACAGGAATATTAAATTTTGCCCTCAGGCTTGTGTCAGTGACCTATCCCAGCAGGAAATTAAGGTTTGTCTACATCCAGCAGTTCGGCTGCTCTCTCTCTCTGTTTGTCTATACAGAGTACAACATTTAACCCTTCAATGTATATGAGCAGTAAATAAGTGTTGCTTTCATATTCTTATGTAGAGTAATGATGATATGTTTTCATATGTGCGCACTTACATACGCGCAGTCTCACTTTTTTTTTACCATTAATGGTTAGCTACTTATATTGTTCCATTTATTAACATTAAATAACATTACAGGCACTTCAAAAAACCAGATTAATTTTTTTACATTAATTTTACTGCAGCTACAATTACGGTCTTATTTTCTTCAGTTTTATATGTAGAACCAATCAGTCACTGGTTTTGTAAGCTTTAACAAAAACAATGCCGGCAGCCGTCTCGTCTCTAATATTCTACGTATTATTAATAAACTGTATTGTTAATTTTGCACACACAAACATTAATTCAATAAAAACAAATTCAGAAACATTAATTAAAATATATATGAACAGTATATAAGTGTTGCTTTCATATTCTTATGTAAAGTAATGACGATATGTTTTCACGTGTGCGCACTTACATACGCGATCTCTTTTTTTCTTTACCATTATCGTTAGCTACTTCTATTGTTTCATTTATTAACATTAAATAACATTACTTAAAACAACCATATTAATTTTACTACAGCTACAACCAAGGTCTTATTATCTTCAGTTTTATATGTAGAACCAGTCAGTCACTGGTTTTGTAATCAACGAAAACAATGCTGTCTCATTTCCTCGTGTGTTTTAATATTCTACGTATTATTAATGAATTGTATTGCTCATTTTGCACACATAAACATTAATTCAATCAAAAAGACTTTCAGCAATAAACAATAATGAATCTTTTGTACAGAAGAGAAATGACGCTGTTTACACGATTGTGCACGTCGTCTGAACGTTGGTGGGCCGTTCAAACCCGTCGAAATTCGAGTTTCCACCCTCAAAATTTTTAAATGTGTTGTTTTTTTGGTGTTCAAATCGAAAACGTCGAATTAAAAACTCGCGAAATTTGAGAAGCTACTGTACGACATTTAACCCTTCAATATGTCTTCAAAGAGACCATGAAGCAGAGAAAGTGGTGCTAGTGCTTCCAAGCCAAGTCACTATCAAGTCACTATCTGATAGCAGTAAATATTGAAGAACAGTGAAAAAAAATAATAGTAAAAAAGAAGGATAGAATAGAGGCAAAGAGCCTGAGAATGACTGAGGCAAAAACAAAAGTATTGCTTAGTGGTGTCAATGGTGAGAAGTGAAAAATGGCCACATGCTCTCTACAAGAAAGGTGTCACAGGCAACTCAATTATGTGCAACAAGAGTGGAAGGTGGATACACAAGAGGTGACGGTCCAGAAAATCCGCCTATTTTCCCGCCATTTTCTTTCGTAATTATTTTTGGAAAGGTTGAATTTTTTCTTGTTTTATTACCCGGGGTGTTACTGCCAGCAGCACCCTAACCCAGGGCTTAAGGGTTAAGTGTTCTGTATTTGCAGGTAACTATGTGACCACGTCGAGGCTGGAGAAACTGAACATTGGGGCTATATCCCTGCACTGTGTTGATAAATTCTGTTACCTGGGTGACATGATCAGTCCTGGTGGGGGTGCTGAAACCTGCAAGTGTCAAAAGTGGCTGAAGGAAGTTGAAGGAGCCGCTGCTTTTACGGACAACAATCGTGAAAAGAATAATGTATGTGGCTGGTGTGAGATGTTTTATGGCAGTGAAACATGGTCACTTAACGATGACTAAGTGAGCTGAAATAAGAATGATGAGGTGGAAGTGTAATGTGGTACTGAAAGACGGGGGGGATCTGTTGAGAACTTAAGAGGGCAGGAGGGTAATGAGAGTTGAGTATTGGACAAGTCCTGCATAGAGGCAAGCTGAGATGGTCTGGGCATGTGGAGAGACAGGCTGAGATGATCTGGGAATGTGGAGAGGCAGGCTAATATGGTTTGGGCATGTGGAGAGAATGGATGAGATCAACTGGGTCAAGAGATGCATAAGCCTATATTTGGAAAGGAGGACAGCCCATAGTAGGGCAAGAATGACATTGGGGAGAGGTTGGAAGAAATTATATTAGAGTTACGAGCGTGACACATGAAACTGCAAGAGAATGGGCAGCAAGAAGAGCTGCCATTAAGTAACTGTGGCTAACCCACACAGGCATGGAAAATAAAGAAAAAACAATGGCGATGAATGTCAGATGATTGTTTTTATTTTATTATTGAAGTTTTAATTTAATTTATACTACTATACACTTCAACTGGCTGTGGGTTAGACTTACTCTTCTAATACTTCCTCCAACATGAAAAAACTACCACCCACTCACCCATGGCAATGCTCATGTGTTTATCAATGTCGGCTTTCTTCTTGATCAGTTCCGGCAAAGAGGTTATGGCCGAGGTTAGTTTAGCTGTGTTGTCACTCAGAAGGTCAATAGCATCTTCATCTGGGTCAGTTTTCAAGCCTTTAATATGAGTCTCAGCCTTCTTGTAGTCTTCCAGCTCTGTTTCTACAGCTGCTGCTACATCTGGGAAAGCACTGCCTGAGGAAGAAGTAAATGACTGACAATGAAAATGTTAAAAGAAATGTAAGAAAAATATTTTATAGAAAAATAAAGTAATGTGACATAACAGTAGGACGCTTGAGAGATAACAATTAGATTATTAGCAAGACATTTATCCTTTAGTGACAGTAAAGAATTTATGAGTTTCAAAATATGAATACGATAGTTCTTAGTATTCCAGAGCAGTAGGTAGCAATAAATAAGTTACAAGGTGAATACACTGCCTATACAATAGAAAGTTACATGTTAAATACTGTACTGTACTACTTGTACAACAGAAAGCTATATAAAGAATGCAAACTACAGTACAATATAAATTGTACAAATATATCAGACAGCAGTCCTTATATATCGTTAAAATAATTACCCGGTAGGCAGAATATAACTTACATTGCTAGAATTCTTGTAAGATAATGATTAATTTGAGTACAAACATCCCATAATTTGCACTAGACACAAAAATTTTGTATTTAACTTTGTTCATTTGAGTACAGTACAGGTTTGCCCTGAGGACAATTATTTCATTTACTTTTTTCACAATATGTATTTAGAATGGTGTGTGCATGCAAATGAGTAAAAATACATGAAGAAAGTTACGTATATCGCCCCGAAAATACGAGTTGAATAATAACCATAACACCTCAGAGCTTGGCCCAGTAGCCTGGTGGTTGCTGTGATGAGTCTAACTTGGCTACAATGCCATGATAAATCACTATTAAGCATTATTATATCAGTAAACACTAATAATAACAGTGAAATATAGCAGGGAGGGAGGAGAGCTAAGTGCAGACGAAGCTGTCACATTATTCACTCCTCTTACCTGCACCCGTTGCCAGGTGTACAATCAAAATACGTATGGGAGAAATACATATTTTGTAGTCTAATTTGAAAACAGTGACCGGCCCAGTATTAAACACATTACATAAACCATGTATTTACCTACGATAACATAATAAGAAACATTGTATCATTACTAGAGTGAATGAAATATTCCCACAAACAACAATTGACAACTGTTTATGTTTCCAATAAGTAGGTAGTAGACAGATACCAAACAGGGAGGTACTACCATCTGGGAAGATATTGGAAGCATAATGTGTTGTGTAATGGTAGACCCTGCTGCCATATGGCATCACGAAAATTGTGACCAAGTCCCAGGTTGCTGATCTGACTTTCTACCTCATTTACACACAATTGCAGGGTCTCAATTGTTTCTCTTTGACAACACAACTTACATATAATGTTTCTCACTATTGATCATTTCTTTTTCTTTACGGTTTTTTATGATTATTATTAATATTAATATTATTATTACATTTTCGCACCCTACAGTAGGTCCCAATATGAGTCAGTGACCTGTGCCCGGGTGGGCTAATCCCCGTAAAAAAAAAAAAATAATAATAATAATAAATTAATAAAATAAATAATAAAAAATAAAAAATCCAGGTCAACCAGCACCAACGGGTAAAAGGTTCTTTGCTCTGTTTTGGGAATGCTTCTTAGCCCAGAACCCACAAATTTTGGGTCAGAATCTTCCCAAATCTGGATTTACAGGGTCCGAATCTTCGAGGGTTCACTGTACTGTAGATATTACAGTAATTTAGCAGAGAAAAAATATCCTTACCTTTATGATCCTTCCAGAAGCCATCTGAGTTACTGATATCATATTCTTTTGTCTTGGTCCTATTGGTTGGGTGAGCAGCATCTTGTTCTGTGACTGTTACCCGGTTGAGGCTAAGGTTCAGCACGTCGTGGGCAAGAGCTTGATAGGTCCAGGTGTGATGCAGTGGTGTGGCCAAGTCAACATTACGGTCCACAATAACCAACAGAGGTCTTTGAAAGCTAAGGGAAAACTGACTTTTGAAGGATAATGCATCAGAAGTTGACTTAAAACTGTTAATTGTGTAACTACCTAAGAAGTATCCAAACAAGGCCTTAGAAAATGCTCTACTTAATTTGTTTGTTAATGTCAGCTATAAGAGTGTTCGAAGGTGTGCCTTATTTCCAACAGCAAATTAAAACAGACCATCAGTGCTTTTTTTAAGCTAAATTCCATTTACAAATAATTATCATACAAACAGTCTATCACTTACATACATACACATAACATCACTTATGTACACATAGTCTATCACTTATCACTTATGTACATCCAATCTACCACTTATGTACACATAATATTTATGTACACAAAGTCTATCACTAACACACAGTCTATCACTTATGTACAGTAACTAAAACAACTATCTGTGCAGGTGGGGGTCGACATGCTTCGTCATCTTACGTGTGACTAGTGACAGCCTCATATACCAAAATTTATCATCCATGGTCTCATATTGTTTCTCACAAAGTATGCACAGATAGTTGTTTTAGCTACTGTACCATCACTTATGTACACACAGTCTATCACTCAAGTTCACATTGTCTATCACCTATGTAGTATGTACATAAAGAAGGAAAACTTTACCTTAGTTGACCAGCAGCAAATGAATCTGTGCTGAGGCCAGAAAAAAAAGAATTTCGGGTGTCACGTAAATTCTCTCGAAGCTTCTTGTCCAAGCGTTCTCCCACACTCTCGGCTGCATTGCCCCTCGGGCACCGGATGATGGGAACTTGACCTGTCATATTCATTACACTGTAAAACTATAACTTATAACTGCAGTAAAAGATGATTGTTTCAGCATCTTGTGAGTATAACAAATAGCTACCATAGTTATATGAATGAATATACAGTGATCCCTCGGTTAACGAACGCCTCGGTTAACGAATTACCTTCCATAAGATTCTTCACTTCGGTTAACGAAAAAATTTCGGTTAACGAATTCCTTACGAATTTTTCCCAACATGTTTCCGCCTGCTTTTACCTGCTCACCAGCTGTAGTATTAGTCCACCAATACAGTAATCAGTTTTAGGACTTAAATTCGTTACCATTTGAGTAAATATCAAGAAGGTTGTACTATTCAATAATTTTCCAAGTCTTATATTAAAGTTTTTTGTCACTTTAACAATTATTTAACATAATTGAAGTACAGGGAACTAGTTTTTAGCGCGCCAAACAGCCACTTGACTCACCCAAAATGGCGTCACGGTGTGTCCCTGCTCAGTGGAGGAAGCTTCTTGCTTGAGACTCTATTGAACATAAACTATTTTTACATTTTTACAGTACAATTATGGGTCATTCTGAAGTTTATTTTACATATTGACAATATATAATGCAGTGCAGTGTTGATTTAAACAAAATAATCTTGAATTACACCAAGTGAACTAAAATTTTATGGGTGAAATGGCGGCATGGGATGACTTCTCTTCCACCCTAATGCCTTCTCTTCTCCCTTCTCCTCCACCCCCATTCTAATTCCCATCATCATCAACCAGGAGCCTTCTACATGCACACCTTAAAGTAAGTGTACTTTACTGCATTTATTTTTAGTTTGTATGTAATTTTCGGTGAGCTGGAACCAATTACCCAAAATCCCATTGAAACAATGGTTTCGGTTAACGAAATTTTCGGTTAACGAACGACCTTCTGGAACAAATTGTGTTCCTTAACCGAGGGACCACTGTAGGACAGATATTGTAACAGTGACTATTTTAACTACAATAATAAATTATCATGATTTTTTTACACAAAAATTTTTTAGGTACAGTACAAGAGCTCTTACCAAGGTTGACAAATACAGAAAACAGACTATCGACGATAGAGTCCATGATGAGGTCAATGTCCGAGTCTTTAATGTCGCTTCGGTTAATGGCTGCAATGTATTAAGTCATACTTCAAACATCTTCTTTTATAATCAAAACGTTCAAAATACATTTATCTGCAGAGATTTTATTCCTCTTCATTGGAAAAATATAAGTTTTATCCTAAAACCCCTTTTATAAGAGAGTGAACAACCCATGTTGAGAGAAGCTATCACTAATTATCCAAATGTGTTCTATAAGTCACAGGGTTTGCTTACAAATATACAGTATTTACATGTCATACTGACTTTTAAACAGCACAGAATGTACTATTTACCATAAAACATTTAAAAATATTAAAGAGAGGAAGATAATGAATACCCTCATATGTTTAAATATTAAGAGTGAGAGTAAAACTACCAGCTATAACTCACCATAGTAGGAGAGAGACTCCGATCCCTGATGTTTTAATGTAAACATGTCGTCCTCCAAACTGATGAAATTAACATACTGGTCATATACCTGCAAGATGAATAAAACAGTGCTATAATCTTATAAACATACTGGTCATATCCCTGCAAGATGAATAAAACAGTGCTATAATCTTATAACCATACTGGTCATATACCTGCAAGATGAATAAAACAGTGCTATAATCTTATAAACATACTGGTCATATCCCTGCAAGATGAATAAAACAGTGCTATAATCTTATAACCATACTGGTCATATACCTGCAAGATGAATAAAACAGTGCTATAATCTTATAAACATACTGGTCATATACCTGCAAGATGAATAAAACAGTGCTATAATCTTATAAACATACTGGTCATATACCTGCAAGATGAATAAAACAGTGCAGTGCTATAATCTTATAAACATACTGGTCATATCCCCGTAAGATGAATAAAACAGTGCTATAATCTTATAAACATACTGGTCATATCCCTGCAAGATGAATAAAACAGTGCTATAATCTTATAAACATACTGGTCATATCCCTGCAAGATGAATAAAACAGTGCTATAATCTTATAAACATACTGGTCATATACCTGCAAGATGAATAAAACAGTGCTATAATCTTATAAACATACTGGTCATATCCCTGCAAGATGAATAAAACAGTGCTATAATCTTATAAACATACTGGTCATATACCTGCAAGATGAATAAAACAGTGCTATAATCTTATAAACATACTGGTCATATACCTGCAAGATGAATAAAACAGTGCTATAATCTTATAAACATACTGGTCATATACCTGCAAGATGAATAAAACAGTGCTATAATCTTATAAACATACTGGTCATATCCCTGCAAGATGAATAAAACAGTGCTATAATCTTATAAACATACTGGTCATATACCTGCAAGATGAATAAAACAGTGCTATAATCTTATAAACATACTGGTCATATACCTGCAAGATGAATAAAACAGTGCTATAATCTTATAAACATACTGGTCATATACCTGCAAGATGAATAAAACAGTGCTATAATCTTATAAACATACTGGTCATATACCTGCAAGATGAATAAAACAGTGCTATAATCTTATAAACATACTGGTCATATACCTGCAAGATGAATAAAACAGTGCTATAATCTTATAAACATACCTCCTATATGACAACAATACATAAGAGCTCACACTTAATCACACCATGGTCTCATCCTTCACCCTCTTGGTTCTCCATCAATAAATAAAATGTCATAATCAGTAACAATTTACCTTTTTAATATTAGCCTGACATCCTGCTTGTAAAGCCGACAGAGCTAAATCCTCCATCTTTTGACGACTGATCGGAGAGATGAAGTTGAGGTAATAAGAAGAGTAGAGGCCATCGTTAAAGTCCTGCCCGATTCGTATCAAGTTTTCCTCCGTTGGTTGACAAAAATATATGGCTGGTACGTCAGGTACTTCCCCTCTTTCACTATGAAGCAACCTGAATAATACAAGTTAGAAATATATTGTCATCTCTTTGATAAAATATTGCTACAAGATAACATCAACATGCTACACGAGCTGAAAAGTATACTAGAACAAGTACTGTACTGCACTGTACTTATATAGTTGTTGAAGTACATGTTCGATAAAATCACTACATTGTAACATCAATCATTGTGGAGCTATTATCATCCTAAGTCAATATTAATTTAACCCTTGTGGAACTATTATCATCCTAAGTCAATATTAATTTAACCCTTGTGGAACTATTATCATCCTAGTCAATATTAATTTAACCCTTGTGGAACTATTATCATCCTAAGTCAATATTAATTTAACCCTTGTGGAACTATTATCATCCTAGTCAATATTAATTTAACCCTTGTGGAACTATTATCATCCTAGTCAATATTAATTTAACCCTTGTGAAACTATCATCATCCTCAGTCAATATTAATTTAACCAATGCAGTTTATACACATTTTTGAAGGACTGTAAGTTTTAAATCACATCTCTCATTGATTTACCATAAATACAGTGAAAACTCCATATAACAGGCTTCTCTCTCCATATAATGCATTAGATGGAGGGTTTCACATCTAATGGACCCTCGATACAACACACTTTCATCTCTATACTACATAGTTCATTAGATAGAGGTTTCACATCTAATGGACCCTCAATATTATGGAATTTTCTCTCCATATACGTAGTAGTAGAGGTTTTACTGTATAGTGACTACCATTTAAACACTACTTCTCACTTGCCAGATAAGAGGCCTCATTGGCCAAAAAAATGCCTAACCTATTACTTTACATTTCATCACCCAGACACAGTAGCTACTCCTTGACTTGCTGATTAAGGATATACGGTAGGTTAAAAATTTTAAATTCGAGTAATTAGTCTTAATTAACTGGTAGTAGGTAGTAGACAGATACCAAACAGGGAGGTACTACCACCTGGGAAGATATTGGAAGCATAATGTGTTGTGTAATGGTGGACTCTGCTGTCATATGGCATCACAAAAATTGTGACCAAGTACCAGGTTGCTGATCTGACTTTCTGCCTCATTTATACACAATTGCAGGGTCTCAATTGTTTCTCTTACTATTGATAACACAACATACATATATTGTTTCTCACGTTTGATCTTTTGTTTTGTTTTTTGTTTTTATTGTTCTTTATTGTTATTATTATTATTACAGAGTTATCATTATTATAATTTTATTTTTTAATATAAATTCTATTTACTATGAATTATTATTATTACAATTTGGCCCCCCCACCAGGCCCCGATGTGGGGCCTGGATAATTTTTTTTAATTTTTCATTCTCAACAAGTGGCATTTATCTGTAGATCCCTTTATGCAAAGAGAAACTAATGCATTTTTTTCAAGAGCTGTTATTTAGACCGAGGGGTTGTTATTTTTGCTGATAGAGTGAAGAAAAGCCTAAAGTGATGACATTTGATGAGAAAATTAAAGTTCTTGATAAGTTTTAAATCAACATGAGACAGCCTCTTTATTACCAACTTCATCATCCCCCTTGTTTTTTTTTTTTTAAATTAGGAAAAATAATATGCTGTAAAACAAAGAAAACTACCCCGGTAATGAAGTCCTACAAGGATGCATTGGTAAAGTTGTTTATTTTGTTTCACACAATCAGTCCATAATATATGAGCCTAGTCGGAATGAATCAGAGGGTCAGTTATATCGGGGGATTACTGTACGAGATTAAACAAAATATGAGGGACGCCGCGGGGAAAAGAGTATGTTTCCGTTACCTGCCACAACAAAATTTAAACACTTCTAAGTACAGTGCTGTACCAGCTTTAAGGTTATAGGACATAATGGCTCCAACACTGGACAATGATGGAAAAACAAGTGGAAAAAGCAAGCGAAGTAGACAATACACGTGAACTGACTGTGACTGACACACATGACCCGTATAGTACAGTACTTGTTTACACTGCGGTGAGCGGTCACATCCCATGACTGCATGGCTACATGTGCACCATATACATATACAAGGGGACCCCCAAGTTTGCAAATTTTTATTTCACGGTTCTCTATTGTTCACGGATGACACCCAGGATGTACCCAAGAATGTCAGTGGGTAGTTTTAAAGTTGTTGGCATTTTCTAGGCTGAGACAGGGAGTCATTCATTCTAGAGACAGTAATTTCCTTTACCTGTATTGTATATATGTTGTGTGTGTGTAGACACACACACACAAAACACATACAGTAGGGTCGGGATATATAGCGACTTTTTATAACAATTTTTTTTAAATTGCGACTACCAAAATTATCGACATTTTCCAATACATAACAATAAATTTATTTATTTTGCGAGGGAAATCAGGCAGGAAATATTTCATATGTACCGCCATGGCAAACAAATGCATTATTTGCTCACCAGAGGCGCCATCGTAGCTGCTCACCCACGCATTCACGCTCAGTTTTTCTGAGTGAGTGACGAAGAAGCAGCCGACTCTGCTGCAGATTATGACTTCTAAGGTGAGTGTAAATGGGTTGCTAGTGATGTGAAAAGTGAAGTGAAGATAGTGGAAAGCTTAATGGAAAAGATTTAATACTGTAACTAATATTTTTGGTTTGTTCACTTATTCATTTATGTAGGTGTGGGATTGTGAAGTGAGGGTGGCAGTGTGGTGTCTGCTGCCGAGTCTGGTGTTCCCAGGATGGTGCGTCAGCTGTCCAGTCTGGTGTTCCTTGATATTGATATTGAAATATCCTGTTACTCCAAAGTCTAATGTTCATTGGTGCTTTAGTCAGTTAGAAAATAAACTCATTAAGTCAAGTTTAGTCACTTTTATTGGCCTCCAGAACGTAACCCTATTTTCCCCATTGATTACATGTAATTATATATCGCAATTTAGTATACTGTATAGCGAACATCGTTGGACCATATCTCGCGATATATCCCGACCCTACTGTACAAATAAATAATAATGGGAAATCCTCTCACAAATAATCAGAAACAAATTTATTAAAAATGTGACAGTCTACCCTCAAGTCTGTGGGAATACAGCTCCTCCCCGACTTACGACCTACTCGACTTACGTCCACCCGCACTTACGACCTGCCTCAGTCGTACCAAAATTTGGTCAAATTACGTATTTTCGAGTCCCAACTCAGTACACAGACAAAATTTTCATCTGTAATTCACTTTAAAATGGCTGGCAAGCATAAAAGTGAGTGTTTTGTGGTGCTGAGAAGAAAAAGAGACCCCATTTTCGATTTTCTATATATTATTTGAGCATTTCCGACTTACGACCATGTTGACTTACGACCTGGATGTCGGTCCCTAAACCCGTCGTAAGTCTGGGAGCAGCTGTATACATTTCTTTGTACACATGTAAAAATGTAACCCCTCCGTTGCAAATGTTTTTCGCGGCCATTTTCATAACCTAACCCCCACGAATTTGGGGGCCCCTGTATTTGTTAATGTCTCTCATAATCTGAAATTTTACCAAGTATTATAAAAGTTTTAATACTGCATATACAGTATATCATAAAATATCGAAATGTCTTACAAGTGTATTTCAAAATTTTACTAAATATTATGAAATTTGTAATTTATGTTTTGTAACAGTTAAAAATTACAATTTATGATTGATTTTGAACTTGAGGGGTACGAATTATGTTTTGTTTTGTTTTTACTGTACAGTACAGTAGGGTCGGGATATATTGCGAGATTCGGTCCAACAATGTTCACAATACAGTATAGTCTCGATTTACACGGATTTCCTTTACGCGGCACCTGGCCAGACCGTCAATTATTAGTTACGCGGTACATTTCATCATTTACTCGGGAAGCGGCGCAGGCAGGGTACGCGCTAAGTCGCCCAGTCATCAAAACATTACAGAGTTCTTCACCCGCCACCCACCACAGCCAGCCCAAGTCAGTGATAGTGAGGATATGGACTTATATGGACTTTGAGGGGTTTGACAAACAGGCCTGCAAGCCTCTGTGGTGGATAGTGATACAGGTGATGGCCAATAATCTGCCCTCTGCCTCGGAACCAACCCCCCATCCCCATGTGCCCAGCCATCTCTTCTACTAACGTAAGTGTTAAAAAACCTAATATTATTGATATTTCTCTTAAATATTAATTGTGTGTGCATACCATCATAAAATTAAGTTGTTATTTTTACTACAACGTACGTATTGTGTCGGAAAAAGGGTAGTCTGGGGGTCGGCCCAGTCTCTATTTCAATTAATCCCATATGTTCTGTTATTTCGTTTACGAGTTTCTTGTTTTATGCGGACCTCCACGGGTTTAATTGACCGCGTAAACCGAGACTATACTGTATACTAAATCGCGATATGTATATAATTATATATGTAATCAATGGGGAAAATAGGGTTAGGTTCTGGAGACAAAAAAAGGTGGTTGAACTTGACTTAACGAGTTCATTTCCTTTCGAACTAAAGCACCAATGAACAATAGACTTGGGAACAACAGACTGTTTCAATATCAATGAACACCAGACTGGACAGCTGACGCACCATCCTGGGAACACCAGACTCAGCAGCAGACACCACACTGCCACCCTCACTTCACAATCCCACACCTACATAAATGAATAAGTGAACAAACCAAAAATATTAGTTACAGTATTAAATCTTTTCCATTAAGCTTTCCACTATCTTCACTTCACTTTTCACATCACTAGCAACCCATTTACACTCACCTTAGAAGTCATAATCTGCAGCAGAGTCGGCTGCTTCTTCGTCACTCACTCAGAAAGACTGAGCGGGCGAGCGTGAATGCGTGGGTGAGCAGCCACGGTGGCGCCTCTGGTGAGCAAATAACGCATTTGTTTGCCATGGCGGTACATTTGAAATATTTCCTGCCCGATTTCCCTCGCAAATTAAAAAAAATTATCGCTATACGTATACTGTATATAGAAAAATTTTGATAATTTTGGTAGCCGCGATTTAAAAAAATCGCTATATAAAGTCGCGATACAGTAATGCTTCCGATAACAACGGTTCGACTTACAACTTTTCATATTTAAAACCAGACTGAATTTAGGACTCAATTCAATTTACGTTCTTATTTCATTCGTATTTACAACCAAAATATAATAAAAATAAAATAAAATTGCATTTTCATATAAATAATAACTAAATCCGGATATGTATTAGAAAAAAAAAATTACTGTAAAAAAAAATGAAGAGCGCCTTGCACAAAGAAGCTGCCTTGCTAATGAATGGTAAACAACAGTCGGAGCTTGGCGGGCCTTTTGTTTTCACGCATCTGGAACAGGAGACAAACTTTCTCAGGTTTCTTACAGCATTTTTGCATCCCTATTCAACATGAGCAAGAGAGCAAGTGATGGTAGTGTTGGTTCAAAAGCTATTAGAAAGTGTATAAGCTTAGCCGAGAAACTAGATGTGTTAAAACGATATGAAAAAGGTGAGAGGTCTGTGGATATTATATGGAGCAAGCAATGAACACATTTTCTGAAGTGGATCCATTAACAGAACAAAGCATTAAAATTTAAATACGAGATTTCAGTTAACGAGTTACCTTCCATAAGATTCTTAACTTTGGTTAACGAGCAATCCCTCGATTAACGAGTTTCTTACGAGCCAACCTGAACATGATTTCGCTTGCATTTGGCGGTCCACCAGCTGTAGTATTAGTCCGCCAATACAGTAATCGGTTCTAGGGCTTAAATTCCTTACCATTTTAGCAAATATCAGAAGTTTATACTATTCAATAATTTTAAAAGTTTAATATTAAATTTTTTACTCATTTTAACAATTATTGAACATAATTGAAGGTAATGAAACTAGTTTTATGCGTGCCATCCAGCCTCTCAACACACCATACAGGCGCCAGTCTTTGTATCTTTTCAGTGGAGGTAACATCTTGCTCGAGACTCTGTTCAACTAAATGCTTTTTTTCTGTTTTTGCAAGCAAATTATTGGTCATTTTGAAATTTATTTTACATATTGCCAATATATAATGCAGTGCAGTGTTGATTTAAAGAAAATAATCTTGAAATGCACCAAGAGAACTAAAATTTTATGGGTGAAATGGCACCATGGGGTGACTTCTCTTCCACCCCAATGCCTTCTCTTCTCCCTTCTCCACCACCATTCTAATTCCCATCATCATCATCATCCAGGAGCCTTCTACATACACACCTCAAAGTAAGTGTACTTTTCTACCTTTTTTGTTGAATTTAGGCAATTTTCGGTGAGCTGGAACCAATTACCCAAAAACCCATTGAAACAATGGTTTCGGTTTACGAGTTTTTCGGTTAACGAGCAACCTTCTAGAACGGATTGTGCTCGTTAACTGAGGGACCACTGTAAACGCAAACGAGAAAAGAAAGCAGCTGTGCAAGGTTCTTTCGACAGCTTTATTATTCAAAGTCCTAAACCATCAACTTCAGCTATACCATCAAATTCAGCATCATAAGCAGCTTCAACATCAACTTCAGGTTCAGTAACAGCTTTATGGAAAACTACAGCTTCAGCCAGAGTTGAACCTGATGACTTCGTCATCTGAGTCAAAACTCTCACAATATTCATTGGCTGTCCTTACGTTTTAGACTTTACCACCATTGGCGAGTAGAATTTTTGTTTTACATTCGTAAATATTATTTAAAATACACTATAGATGAACAGTAAATAAGTGTTGCTTTCATATTCATTTGTAGAGAAATGACGATATGTTTTCACATGTATGCACTTACTGTTCATACGTTGCCGTTCCCAATCGTCTCGCCTTATTTCTTTACCATTAGTGGTTAGCTACTTTATTAACATTAAATAACATTACTTAAAACAAACATACAGGTATTCAAGTTTTTTTTAAATTAAATTCACTACAGCTACAACCAGGGTCTTATTTTCTTCAGTTTCTTATGTAGAACCATCGTCACTCACAAAAACAATACCATCTTGTCTCCTCGTGTGTGTTTTAATATTCTATGTATTATTCATGAATTGCATTGTTCATTTAACATATATAAACATTGATTCAATCAAATACATATTCAGTAATAAACAATAATGAATTTTTTGTACATATTCTTAAGATAAATTACTGTTTCCTTGAGTGTGCACGTATACATTGGCGTTCCACTATCAGTATCACTTTTCCTTCTACTGTACATTAAATAACATTAATTAAAATATACATAGTTTTTACATTAATTTTACAACAACAACAACCAGGGTCTTATTTTCTTCAGCTTCAGGTGGATAACTGACAATTATGGGTGTAAACACTGACAACAATGCCGTCTCTTATCCTCTTGTGTGTTTCAATATTCTACGTATTATTAATGAATTGTATTGTTTATTTCACAAATATAAAGATTAATTCAATCAAATACATATTCAGGAATAAACAATAATGAATCTTTTGTACATAATCTTAAAAAGATAAATGACGTGGTATCCTTAAATGTGCACGTATATGTTGGCGTTCCCAATCCATCTCTTCTTCTTTGCCATTAGTGGTTAGCTACTTATATTGTTCCATTTATTAACAATAAATAACATTACTTAAAACATATACGTATATTTATTTTTTACATTACGTTTACTACAGCTACAACCAGGGTCATATTTTCTTCATTTTCTCGTGTAGAACTCTCATCCCGGACTCCCGGCTGTAAACACAAACAAAAACAATGGCGTCACATCTCCTCTTGTGTGACCACATTATTATTCATTTACTGTATATTGTATAAGGTCATTGAGAAACATTTTTTAAAGAATATACAGTGAACCCTCACTTTACGCGGTCAATTGAACCCACGGAGGCCCACGTAAAGCGAGAAACGCGTATAGTGAACAACATAACATATGGGATTAAATGAAATAGAGACCGGGCTGACCCCCAAACTCCACTTTTTCCGACACAATACCTATGTTCTAGTAAAAATAACATCTTAATTTTATGATGGTACATGCACACAATTAATACTTAAGAGAAATAGAGAAATACAGTCACCAAGTTAATGTCCATTCAAATAATGGATTCAACTCCCTCCCCCTCTTCTCACACTACACTCGCTGGCTCTTCCCTCTCTGAGAAATGTTTGGGGGAAAACCACTAGATTTTAAGGTATAGTAATAAATAATACCTCAAACTAAAGTTAGGATAATATAATTGACATTGCTGGATTCCTTGTAAGACCAGGAATATTTTGAATATAAATGTCATATATTTTGCACAAAAGATAACATATTTACTCAGAGTAAACAAAATACTTAAAGTAGATCTAAAATTTGTATATGTAATGCAAAATCTATGATGTTTATATTCAAAATGATCATCAAATTGTACGAATTCCAGCAATGTAAATTATATTCTGGCCCGGTAATTTGTATGAATTTTATGAGCTAAAACAAATATCTTCAATAAAGAAACAAAATATACTTACTGAAATACTATCTGTCAATCAAAATACCCCACCTCCCCCCCTCTTCCCACCTGCTCCCTGGGTCCCTCCCTCCCTCCCTACCCCTCACCCCCACCTTCCCTCCCTACCAGAGATATGATTGGGTTATAACAGTATATTTACATTTTTAGTAATAAATAATACCTCAGACTAAAGTTAGGATAATATACTTGACATTGCTGGATTCCTTGCAAGACCAGGAATATTTTGAATATACACGTCATATATTTTGCACAAAAGATAACATATTTGCTCTGAGTAAACAAAATACTTGCATTAGATCTAAAATTTGTATGTCTAATGCAAAATCTATGATGCTTATATTCAAAATGATCATCAAATTGTAAGAATTCCAGCAATGTAAATTATATTCTGGCCGGATAATTTGTATGAATTTTATGAGCTAAATAAAAAAAATTATACTTCACCCGCATATATGAGTAGATGCACGGCGTAAAGTGGGAATTCCGGTTCTGGCAGGGTACCGCGTAAATGTAGAAACGCGTAAAGTGAAACCGCATAAAGCGAGGGTTCACTGTAGTTTGCAATTTTCATTAACTGTATTGTTTTGAGGGGAAAAGATGGTAAAAAGCCACACAAAAGATATGAAAAGGTCACACTTGGGAACGCATCTCATTATTAATGCTTTAGTTTAATGGTAATTAATGATTCGCAATAAGACGATTCACCTTACACTGCAATATTGGAGGAAACATTAACGTCATTATTCGAGGCTTAACTGTATTTCCCGACCCTATTGTTCATACAGCACAGTACAGTATATACATCCATAAATATGAGCATGAACTTACATGTGCAGTGTGATGCCCACTTCTCGTAATTCTTTAACTGAGAGTAGCGGAGAGATGATATCTTGTCCATGTTTATCATAGATTAGTACAGAGAATGTGGTCTCACTCCCAACAGTGGTATTTCCTACACCAATGTTCAGGTTGATGATGCGCCGCAGCGATGCTGTAAAACAAATTCTTTGTATTATGGATATACAGTAAGTCCTCGCTTAACGTCGTGGTTCCGTTCCTGAAAACCACGACGTTAAAGGAATTAATTTTCCAAATAAGAAATACAGTGAACCCTCACTTTACGCGGTTAATTCAACCCACAGCGGCCCGCGTAAAGTGAGAAACGCGTAAAGTGAACAACATAACATATGGGATTAATTGAAATAGAGACCGGGCTGACCCCCAAACTCCACTTTTTCAGACACAATACCTATGTTGTAGTAAAAATAACTTCTTAATTTTATGATGGTATGCACACACAATTAATAATTAAGAGAAATATCAATAATATTAGGTTTTTTAACACTTACATTAGTAGAAAAGATGGCTGGGCACACGGGCACAGGTCATTGACCCACAATTGGGCCAAGGGGGCAAAAAAATAAGAAGAAAAAGAAATTAAAAACAGAATAGAAAAAGACTGTAGTAATCTATACCACGAACATGCTGCAAAACATACATTACACAAGTTATTAATTATTCATTTTAACACACCCTAGAATTTTTTCACGAGATGTTTGATTACTGATGCATTTTGATGTGTTTGGTTCAGATTTGACCTTCGTTTCCATGGGAAATGCATCATTTTTTATAAAAAGATGCAAGTCATCCATGATCAAAAACGGTTATTTTGCATCAAAAACGAAGGTGAGATCTGAACAGAATACAGGTACATCCAAATACATCAGAAACCAAACATCTAGACCCATAACTTTCACTAAATTAACCTACCGTATCTTAACCTAACCTCACCTAATCCCTGGCACTGTGACATGCCTCACGGCTCCAGACAGCTCGCAGTGGGACAAGAAATGGCGGGTAGAGATTCATTGATTTAATTTCTTAGGAGTTCCTCACTTGTGCTATTTTTCTGAAAGAAACACATTTCCAAGAGGCTTCAAGGGTTGAGGAATGGATAAGATTGCGGATTACAGCAACCAAAGAATCTGATAAAAAAATAAATAAATTCTGATAGTTTTTGATGCAGTTGCTTCAAATTTGACATTCGTTTTTATAGGAATCACATGTTTTGGATTTAGCCCCCCCCCCCTAACAATAATGGAGGAAAGTGTGGGAATTTGGGGTTTGGGTGGGGAGCCAAACGAGTGATTTGTGGTAGAAGCAAATTCCAAAATTGTCCGAATCGCAACAAGAAAACATCAGAAGAACACATTACACAACAGAAATTCCGTACTCTATACTTGTTAACTTATACAATATAACCAAACTAAACCTTACCTAACCCCCTAGCCGGGGACTCCGCCCCCAGACCCCGGTCCGACTAATTACCCAAATGTAGCCGCAATTAAGTCAAATAATGGTCCGACATGAATAAATCGGACTGCCAACCACGATTTGAAGATGTGCTAAACCGAATAATAACCCACAAGAATTTTGTGTTCTTTGCTCACTGCCAGGCGAGTGACAATAGTCTAATGTCTTAACTCTACTATCAATGATAATGTATTATTTTATACAGTAGTTGCACTATTATTATTCTATTAAACCAAAAACACTTTGATTTACTTGGTTTTTTGTCTTTACCACCTCAGTTCTCGCTGAAGTTGCCGTAAATTAAGTAATATGGTACATTATTTACCTATCTGCTTCTCCCTCAGACTGGCGGCCATGATTTGTTTACGTGGAGGCAAGAGATCTTGAATATAAAGCTCTAGCTGACACTCTAATATATTGAATATAAAGCTTTAGCTGTCACTCTAATATCTTGAATATAAAGCTTTAGCTGTCACTCTAATATCTTGAATATACAACTTTCTGTCAACAAAGATCTTGAATATAAAGCTCTAGCTGTCACTCTAATATATTGAATATAAAGCTTTAGCTGTCACTCTAATATCTTATATATAAAGCTTTAGCACTCTAATATATTGAATATACAACTTTCTGTCAACAAAGATCTTGAATATAAAGCTCTAGCTGTCACTCTAATATATTGAATATAAAGCTTTAGCTGTCACTCTAATATCTTGAATATAAAGCTTTAGCTGTCACTCTAATATCTTGAATATACAACTTTCTGTCAACAAAGATCTTGAATATAAAGCTCTAGCTGTCACTCTAATATATTGAATATAAAGCTTTAGCTGTCACTCTAATATCTTGAATATACAACTTTCTGTCAACAAAGATCTTGAATATAAAGCTCTAGCTGTCACCAAATATCTTGAATATGAAGCTTTAGCTGTCACCTTAAGATCATGAACATGAAGCTTTAGCTATCACCTTAAGATCAAGGACATGAAGCTTTAGCTTTCACCTTAAGATCAAGGACATGAAGCTTTAGCTATCACCTTAAGATCAAGGACATGAAGCTTTAGCTGTCACCTTAAGATCATGAACATGAAGCTTTAGCTATCACCTTAAGATCAAGGACATGAAGCTTTAGCTTTCACCTTAAGATCATGAACATGAAGCTTTAGCTATCACCTTAAGATCAAGGACATGAAGCTTTAGCTTTCACCTTAAGATCATGAACATGAAGCTTTAGCTTTCACCTTAAGATCATGAACATGAAGCTTTAGCTATCACCTTAAGATCAAGGACATGAAGATTTAGCTTTTACCTTAAGATCATGAACATGAAGCTTTAGCTATCACCTTAAGATCAAGGACATGAAGCTTTAGCTTTCACCTTAAGATCATGAACATGAAGCTTTAGCTATCACCTTAAGATCAAGGACATGAAGATTTAGCTTTCACCTTAAGATCATGAACATGAAGCTTTAGCTATCACCTTAAGATCATGAACTTTATGATCATGAACATGAAGCTTTAGCTTTCACCTTAAGATCATGAACATGAAGCTTTAGCTATCACCTTAAGATCAAGGACATGAAGATTTAGCTTTTACCTTAAGATCATGAACATGAAGCTTTAGCTATCACCTTAAGATCATGAAGCTTTAGCTTTCACCTTAAGATCATGAACATGAAGCTTTAGCTTTCACCTTAAGATCATGAACATGAAGCTTTAGCTATCACCTTAAGATCAAGGACATGAAGATTTAGCTTTTACCTTAAGATCATGAACATGAAGCTTTAGCTATCACCTTAAGATCATGAACATGAAGCTTTAGCTTTCACCTTAAGATCATGAACATGAAGCTTTAGCTATCACCTTAAGATCAAGGACATGAAGATTTAGCTTTTACCTTAAGATCATGAACATGAAGCTTTAGCTATCACCTTAAGATCATGAACATGAAGCTTTAGCTTTCACCTTAAGATCATGAACATGAAGCTTTAGCTATCACCTTAAGATCATGAAAGTTTTTCTTTTATCCTCTTCACCACTGAATGGCTAGTTAGTCGCTTGAGCGATCGGTCATGTCTCTTGTCACACACTGTTGGCAAGTACTGGGCATGCACCAGCTCCTGAATGTACCTGAACCTGCTCCAGTGTTGGTCAAGTCTGGTCTTGAAAGAGCTCACACTGGGTGCCATCACAGACAGATTGTTGCACTGAGTTCACAACTCTCATTCCGAAAAAGTTTGCCTTTGGGTTGTTAGATGGGGTACTGGGGTAAGCTGACAAGGGTTTGGTTGATTGGGAGTTGAATTGACATGGAACTGATACAGTATAGGTAATTATTTGACTTCACAACTGTTGTAAAAAAACTACCACTGTATTTCACTGTGTTTTATAGTGGACACTGTAATAGTTATGGCAAATGAGTTAAATAATGGTTATTATTAAATTAAACCTAACCCACCTTAGTTGATAAGAAAATCAAGTAGCAGAAGCATTGTTTGAAGACCTTACCATCCTAACCAAAGAAACCAATCTATCAATACCTTACTTCCTAGCTGAGAGGCTCAACCCTCCAGCATATTAAATAGAAAGAACTTACTATTATATGGTGTAATTTGACGTTTTTGTATCCTTCAAAACAGCAACCCGATCTATGTGGCTTTTAACATACACTGGTGTCAATCAGACATGATTAGCTGTGTACTGCCACATCATGCCGAGAGACACCTGTACGAGAAACTCTGCGTTCCGGGCATTCGATGAATTTCCGAACGATAGCAGCATGCGCCGACACATGCCAAGTAGGCTCAGTGCTCACGAACTTTGATTGGCTACGACTGTCATGCGACTGCATGGGATGCCTATGATTGGCTGATTTATCTCACAGCCTACCTCTCAACCTCCAGCATCGTGACAATCTCACTTCATCGTCTGTTGCCATTGTACATGTTGTTTATTCGCTCACTGCTGTTTTTTGCATATGATCTGTGTTGTGCAGTATTGTTCATCACTGTACCAGGATACAATGAGGCAAAAATACTGTTAAAGCAGTGTTTAGACGTAAAACGTTATTACAGTTACGTACACTATACTGTCCATTCAGTAAGTGTGAAAGTATCATATGTACAGAACTGTACATAGTAAAGTGGATGCCTACTGTAGGCTAGTGAGTAAAGGGTGTATATACAGTATACAGTGTGTGTGTATAATCCCTCCTTCATGGAGGGAGAAGAGAGTGTTAGTTAGCAACACCTGCTAAAGGCATTTGTTACAGGACTTAAAAATATTCCAGTTAGCGATATAAATTTTTTAACGCCGTTTCTTGTCTAACATTAGGTCAAAATTTGGTTTAGTGATGTTCAACTCACTATGACTGGAGAAACACCAAGGATGAGGTGGCCTGAAAGATGGCATGTTGCCTTTGCTACATGTAATGAAACTATAAAAGATGTTGAAAATCATTACATTACTCTTAATGTGGCTTAGGAATGAATTACAATCTTTTTATAAATAAATTTGGCATAAACTTTCTGCACAAGACTTGAGATAATATGGGATAAAGAAAACAGCTCAATAATTAAAGGTATCCTTTATGTACAGCTTCATAATGCATTTTCTAGGGATCATACATGGCATGAGTATTACTGTCAATGCCAACATGTTTCCATACACACATAAGCACTTTCAGTAAGAATGCAATTGTAAAAATCATACCAATACAATGACTCCATTTCCAATATTACATGAGGATAATCACAATATCATCCAAGGAGTGATATGATAAAAGCTCATGTAACCTACATACTGTACTTCACACTATATGTCAGCACTCGAGGTTTGCTGCAAGATGTCACAGTAAGAGACTAATAGTTTACTACTGGTAATGACAAACTGGAATGCCATTCTCACCAACTCACCATACCATACATACTTTATTAATGGACACTGGCACCAAAGCATTATATTACTAGGTTGTTGTAATGGTTGTCATTATGGAACTGTGGAGGTTAGGGGCCAATAGTGCTATTGCATATTCACTCAGGTTTGATCATTTGCTGATCTGTACACAACTGAACTGTGGAGAAAGACTCTTCAGTAATCTAGTATGGATAATAAGTGTCAACCCGGTAAAGGTTTAATATCTAGGAACAATTACGGTCTTCCTTCACACAGGGAACAGCACTGTCCTAATGACTTGAATTAACCTAAAATCTGTGCCTTTGATCACAGTGAGAGAAGGGGGAGGGGAGAGAGGGGACAGCTGTACAGTACTGTTAATATAATTTTTTATATATTATATATATATAATCAATCTATGAACCCATATAGGTACTGTAAGACAATTTTACTAGTAATGGAAAGTAAATTGAGCCTACTCAATGTCCTACAGATGCAGACAATGATTCACAATTCACATCTTTATCTATTAATAAATAAACAGTAGCACCAAATCAAAAGTTGTTGTCATATCTACAGAGAGAGAGACATATGCTACACACTGTTAATCACAGACTGGTTGTGCAAACCAACAATTTTAACCAACACTAAGCTCTTGATGGGCAGATCTAGAATGATGAAGGGTTCTAGTTAATTCTTTGTGAAGATAAAGGAGACTGAATAGATGATAATAAATTGGTAGCATTACAGACCAATAAAACAATAAAAAATAGCTTCACAATCACTTAATTCACAGACAGGTTGTCTTCCTTTTCTGATAGCGGAATGGTAGTCCTAAGATCTGCCACTGAGGGTTGTTCACAGAGCTGCACTTCTGATTGGATCTGTTAGATGGACACTTTCTGAATGGTGATTCAATTATTATTTGTCTTGCACTACAGGCAAGCTTATCCAGTGCTGTTGAAACGTACTGAGGATAGGGATGGCTGAGAGTCCCATGTCTTTTTTATATTTTGTGAATTCACTTAAAAATCACATATTTAACATCACGTTTATTTGCTGAGCACTAAAACTAAGAACCTACCTTAGCACACAAGTTAAACTATTTTAAGTCTCCAAATACTTCACTTTTTGATGAACCTTTAACTGGAATGATAAACCAACAGTTTATGACAGGATAAAGCTTGTTTATAGAAATCAAATCTTCACAAAATCAAAAGTCCCTGGAAATTTTTAAATGCTAGTAATGACATTTCAAGAGGTGAACTACACAATTTTGAACATGCACTGTATCAATGTAAAAATTGTCAAGGCTGGTCGCTGGACTACTGTCTGTCATCCAACAATTATCATACATTTTGCTCATCCATACACTAGCCTGAACAATTCACTTTTGAGACCATACAATGGATTTATGAAACTGGTCCTCATTTTCAAAGGTCAAGTTTGACTACTGAGAAAACAGTCATTTAAAAATATATGACAAAATATAGAGTGACATGTAAAGCCTAATACGGTAACAAAGAGAGATCCTCATGCTATGACTCGGTGATCATGACCAGAAGTAGAATTTCTCAACATACACCTCATGGAACAACTTCACTCACTCATGATTGGGTGCTTGGCCTATATAAACTTCATACATATCATGTCTTTATTTCAAAATCATCAGTAGGAATACCTATTTCATCCCTGTATTTAACACCAGGACAATATCTTGATTTCATATATTTCTGGCAATTACTATGGAGTGTACTGTTAAAAACACGATTAGGAATTGTATCACTAGAGTGGACGTGTATAATTCGTTTTGATCCAGTTCCAGACCTGTATAATTACTAGTTATTAAAAACCAATATAAGATTAACTACATTTGTTTCATGAGCAGCAATGTTTAGGATAAAATGTGTAAACAAATATAATTTGGCAAGTTACCTTTACATGGGAAGGGAAGCAGCATTCCCTTCTCTTGTGCAACTTGTCCAGGCACATTCCTCTACACTGCATAATACATCTAAAAACTGTGGCTCAGTGAAATGAATCCTAGCATCCCATATCTCAAAAATGTAGTTTACATTGTAGTAGTAAAAACTGAACTGTGTGGTAAAGCAGCAATATTACACTTCACTAAGCCCACCGAAATGACTTGAAGAGGAAAACATTTGTTTTTTGTTTTTTGTGGTAGACAACATTCATCACAATAAATACAAAAACTAAATAAAGGCAATTCCATTGGAGAGCTTCTATGAGGTTAGAGCATTTTAGACTGGAAGTACATATCAGGCATGTAAATCCTGAGCTGTTGCTGGCAGGTAAGTCTTCTACATCCTCATACAGTTGATCCTCCCGCTCCTCACCCTGATCATAAAGAAATGTCCATGTTAAATTGCCATCTTCAAAAATACAAGATGCTATGAAGATAAAATATTGATTATATAAGATGCCTTAACATCACAGTACAAGCAGTCCCCATTTTAAAAATTTAATGTGTTCCTCAAAATATTTGTAAACCAGATCAATAAATCCAAATAAAACGAAGATGTATATAATCCCCCAGATGCTGGCAAAAGCCACAATATCTAACTAAATAAAAACCTCATTAATACACAACTAATGAATAAACTGATTGTAAACAATAATAATGATCAATTTAAAACCACAACACTGCACCAAACATGTTTGGCGCCACTCAAACAAAGCAGATGTGTACGTTATGTGAACACGCTTGTGTGCAGCACAGTTGATGAGGGGTACACACTGTTCGGCGCCATAAGCTCGTTGAACAGGCTTTGTGTGAAATATAACAAAGTCTAGGACTGCTTTTAGTATCCTGGTGGTCCAGAGATAGCGTTCCCCAGTCACAGTCATGGGCTCGTGGGCCGTGGGTTCGAATCCTGGCGGGTTGAGGTGTTGATTGTATGTAGAAGTCCGCGTGCTTTATTGGGCTAATGAAATATATATATATATATATATTTTTTTTTTATTCAGTGATTGCGCTGTGTACTGACAAAATTTTTGTTTGTAATTCCCTTTAAAATGGGTGGCAAGCTTAAAAGTGAGAGTTTTGTAGTCCTGAGAAGAAGAGACACCCATTTTAGATTTTCTATGTAATATTGTCGCATTTTCGACCTGGATTTGGGTCCCTAACCCCGTCATAAGTCAGGGACTGCCTGTATATTATTGTTGTTTTGTATGGGCATTGTTGTGTTTTAACCTAACCTAACCTATGAGATTAACACTGTTCTGACTTGTGAACAGATCAACTGAAGAAAAGGGTCCAGGAATGTAACCCATTCATAACTCAGGGACTGTCTGTATACCAGACTGTAATGTTCATATAAGTGGATATTTGTGTGTTGGATGTTCAGCAACCATGGATTACCTGTACAGTAAAAGTTGTAATTTTTTACTCATAATAAATCATGTACAGTACTGTATTCTTAGGACCTACATACCATAGGGGATAGCACCAAAGTTTAATATCAATGACAGGTTCAAACAAAAAATTCATGTAATGTGCAAACACTTTTCCTGAATTTAACCGAAAATTATAAGTACCTGCATAAAATATCTGATATGTTTGGGTGCCCAATGATATCATGTGAAAATGAGCATTGAAGTGATGACCTGAGTCAGTTGGTTTTCATTGTGCAATTTTGGCTCTAACTTAACAATACAAGTTCACTCCAGCCCCGAATGGCAAATTTGCTGATAAAGTCCTGATCCACACTTGATGTAAGGTCCCTCTGGGGTACAACTTTGTGTTAGCAGGGGTAAGGTGAGGATCATATTTGGTGATGACAAAGACTCCTGCCATCAGTTGTGTACTGGTACAAGTTATCTGCCACAGTGTAGTTCTCCAGCATCCTTCAACACCTACCACAACATCCTACTCGCTCATTACACTTTTGTACAACATAACCCCATTTTGGAGGTTTTAGCTACACTGCAGCTGCCACCACCCCACGCTAAACTACTATCAAACACAGATTCTAACTGGCCCAAAACCATTGGCTCAAACTACAATTCAATCATGTACACTGCTAATCATCTATTAGTTCCTGCCCCACCACACATACAAAACTATATAAGTCACCAGTGAATGTTCCTAACTTTGAGGACACTACAAAGTTCAGTCACAACTGGACCAGACACTGTGTTTCATCACCACTACAAATACTGTATACACGATAAAAAAAATATTTGATCATGTTAGGATAGCCAAAGACAAATATTCTTTATGAACCAAAATGTTAAACAAAAATAGTATAATAATACAGTGCTGTATTTACAGGTACTGTAAATTCTTGTTAATAATGCAAATGGCAATAATTACTGTAACTCTGATACAGGTAATACAAACATCTTTTAAGGTTCCTTTCTGATACAGTCGAAGCTCAAAACATATAAATTTAAGAATCCTCAACTGTCAAGAATTGGCACAGTTTCAGATTAAGGTAAGTGTATGTCAAGACTGGAGTGTCATTTGGGGAGACAAACCACTTAGTATGATCCTACCACCCACAGTGGCATATTGGAAGTCAATGTGTAGAGTATAACCAGTAAAACACAAAAAATCAGCACTAAATAGTTATGGGAAGTAAGTATAGTAATTTGGTTTACAAAATGAAGACAAAAAATTTCAGTCATTTCTAAAATAATTTTTTTTTATCCCAGATCCTTAAAAAGTGTATTGTGAATATGTATGGTAAAGTATTAGGTCTAGAATTCATTTTAAGGGAATGCTCTATAAATAAGCCATATGCAGCTAAGAAATCAAAGAACAGCATGTACACCCACCAAACAATTATTTGGCACCCGTGTCATATTGTATCACGTCGTAAGGGTGCTGAATAATTTTTTAGTGGGTGTCCATGTTTATATAAATGCTCACGACCACACAGGTTTACATAGTCATCCAGGTGTACCCCCAATACAAATTTTCTTGGCACCCTTACGGTGTGATACAACATGACACGGGTGCTAAGAAATTTTTTGGTGGGTGTACATCAATACCATTTCGTCCTTACTAAGTTTATGAGGACCTTAAACATGTGGAGTTAGGCATACAAAATCAATCTACTCAATCTACGTACACATATCCCCCCATATTTGCGAACTCACTTATTCACGAAAAATAAAACTTCAGCCATCCAAGAGGCCATTACAATATTTTTGTCCGACCGTCGGCAGATACAACCACACACACTCTGAGATGAGTCAGTTCTCTCGTACGTGCCACACCGTCGTCTCACTCCACCCAGTACATGGACACAGGAAGGGAGGGTAATGTAGCACCCCAATATGTATTTTGGGAATAAGGTACTGTACATTGATTGCACCACAGTGTATATAGGGCTCCCCCTGGTAAAATTTGGTTCTGGCTGTACTGACCCAACAACCTCCCACGATCATGTCAGGCTACTGTATGCAGTACATCTCCACTTTTATGGTAAATCAAGTACAGGTTGTACTTCTCTTGTCCGGCATTCTGTGGTCCGGAACGATTTTAGTTTGTCCAATAGCCGCTACGCGGCGTTGGTGGAGTGGCGGTTGGAAATCAAAGTTTGTTTACATCCGGCAGTTCGACTCTCTCTCTCTGTTTGTCTATACAGAGTAAAGGTACAACATTTAATCCTTCAATATGTCTTCAAAGAGACCACAAAGCAGTGAAAGTGGTGCTAGTGCTTTCAAGCGTAAGGACAAGTCACATCTATCCAGGAAAAGGGTGAATTTTCATGGTCCGGCGCTGGTCAGGTACCGAGGTTGCCGGACTAGAGAGGTACAACCTGTATCATACTTTACGGGGTATTTAATTTCAGTGCAATTCCTCTTATCCAAATTCCAACTATCTGAACTTTGTCCCCCTTTATCTTGTTCAGTAAAAATTCTAGTTTAGTCCAACAATCCAAACACAACTGAAGTCATTCATTTGTGTGTCTGTCACCAGTAGTACTATAACCACTTTGTAAAAAAAAATTGCTATGATAAACAATAAAATTAATACACAGCATATAATAAAATACAATAGCACAAATTTCATAAAAAAACAAAAAAAAAACAGCTCCTTCGACACTCAAACCAGCTAGGCAGTCAACCAGCTGACTCTGAAACGTGAGTGTGTGTGTATATGCTGTGACGTCACACTGGTGGAAGAGTCGGCGACACGGTACAGCTCACTACCTTCACACACACACACCTATTCTCTTAATTTTTCTTATTTTATAGTTTAATATTATATTTTCTTTGTTTTTAAGCCATATTACATTATTGCAATTTTTACTCCTTTACTCTGTATTGGAGAAAACGGTTTTAATTTGGTAGACTATAATATCCTGACTATAAGTTACATGTTTATTTACATACTCAGACTTGAATTATATGTAGAGAAAACAAATATTATTTTTTAAATTTATGAACATGTATTACAAAAGCTCACTTCATATAAACATCAAACCATCTCTAAAAGTTATCATTTCTAACCCAAAATATTATGATAAATATGATAATCTTGGTAGTCATGGTACCATACACTATTTTTGTTATATGGTATTATTTTCAGCATTTGTGAATTCACGATTTGCGACAATTTCCAGGAACATAACCCTCGCGAATACGGGGGGATAAGTGTATAACGTATTCATGAATATGGAAGATGAATGAAAGAAATTTAAGAAATAGAAATATGATACTGTGAAGAAAAACTTGCCCCCCTGAGATGTGTATGTACAATCATTAGATGAGAGAGCAATATTGAACTTCTCCAAGAAAAAGTTTAACAGGCCACTTAATGGGTAGTCTTTGATGCCTCAGTGACCCTGCCTTACCACCAGTACACTACCCCTTGGGAAAGGCATCCAGCCATAAAACTGCTTCAACATGACTGATGACAAATGGCTATGCCCATCCCCTGGTCTCTGCTGCATTTTCTGAGCTAGCACCCTAGATGTGATGTAGTGATGGAGGGGTGGGACTTTCTGTTCTGGTTTTGCCCAACAGCTGCAATCAATACTAACCCAGGCAAGTGTGGAAAATGGCCAGAAAATATTGATGATGATGTCACCTTCATTATCACTTAACAGGTCACATTTATTATCACTAAACAGGTCATCTTCATTATTACTTAACAGGTCACATTCATTATCACTTAACAGGTCACCTTCATTATTACTTAAAAGGTCACATTCATTCCTAGTGAATCTTTTATTAAAATCCTGTGAAGGTGAAACATATCCAAATTATTTAATGTATTAGTTTTACAACAGAGCCACAAGTTTTGGGGGATACCTGGTTTACACTGACTATAGAAAGATGTGTCAGACTAGAACAGTACAGTACAGTACTAGGTCAAAAATAGGACAAGTCGCATGAAGTAAGGTTGAGGAAAATAATGAACAAGATAAAATGTGGATAACAAGTGTCACAATATTAATGGGAGACTCAATCCTGATGATAAATAACCTACCTTAAAGATTATCATCCAGACTAAAAACAAATTAAAAAAGTTGATAACATAAGATGTAGCTATACCTTAAGGAAATATTAGCTCTGTGATGGAGTTTCAGCTACCGGCTCTTCTTCCTGCAGTGTGTGGTGGTCCCCCGACAGAGCTTCACTTTTGTTGTCAACAGGATCTGTCGTACCTGCTTCACTGCTACCTTCACTTTTCTTCAGAAGGCCTCGAGATGAGAGGAAGCTGAACCAAATGTGCAAAGTTTTTAACATGCAATTTTGCCACTCATAACACAACACTTAATAGTGTATTTATAAAGGGTTGCAAAAATAAATAAAAGTTTAATATATATATATATATATATATATATATATATATATATATATATATATATATATATATATATATATATATATATATATATATATATATATATATATATATATATATATATATATATATATATATATATATATATATATATATATATATATATATATATATATATATATATATATACAGAGTTTCTTTATAACTGTTTTGATAACGCTTAATTTGCTCTAACGCGATTTATGAATTAGGAACGATATTTGTATAACGCGAACGCTTGTTTGCTATAACGCGATTTTTGCTTACTATTTCTCCAATTTTGTGGTATTAACTGTGAATATGGTAAAGAAGAATATCTCCAAGAAGCGTTCTGGTGATAGAATTCCCGGTGATGATCGTAAAAGAAAGGATATAACACTTGAAGAGAAGCTCGATGTTATCAACCTCAAAATCACCCTTCTCCCCCATCAAGTTACATTCATATTTTGTCAAGGTAAAGTATTACATTTACTGTATGATTTCATTATTAGATATGAATGTAACATTTATTTAGACTGTGCTATCCTTTGTGTTAGGCTAACTACTAAATTTTTTCGATTTCGAGTAATCTGCACCTAACCCTATTTTCTCCATAAGCCCTGTTATTTCTATTACGCGATTTTCTATAACACGATATTTTACAAGAACACAATTATCGCGTCATAGCAGAACTACCTGTATATATATATATATATATATATATATATATATATATATATATATATATATATATATATATATATATATATATATATATATATATATATATATATATATATATATATATATATATATATATGAATGCTGCACACACAGTATTTTCTAGATTTAACAAATTAATTTGAGCCACCCCTTTTCGTTAAAATGAAATTTCTGCTAAATTGAATTTCCATTACTTTTGTTAAATTTAGTGAACTAGTTATCTAAATTCAGTGTGAATCCATTAAATTCTGCGCCAAATACGCTGCTTGGTACGTGGGGTTTGTTTACATCCGCTTAGTCTGTGTCCTGCTACCACCGCGTGTGTTGTTCACTGCTACCTCTTGGTCAACTAACTACCCTGCTTAGACATCATGCCGAAAGTCTCTCGGAAGTCTCAGAAAGGAAGTGGTGTGGGGTAGAAAGTTAAAAAAGTGCGGCCATCAAATGGGAAAAAAAGTTTGGAAATTATGGATAAAATTGAAAACAATGACTGAACCCCCTAGTTTAAGGTAAGCCATGAATAATATTTCTATGTGCATATCATGTGTCTGAGGTGTCTCCGTAGGTGTGAGCGTATTAACAAAATTAATCTCAATTTTGCCATCTAGTTCACTAAACTGAGTGAAAAATAATGGAAAAAATTCCTTCCACTAAATCGAGAGTTCGTTATATCGGATTCCATTAAAATGAGAGTATATACTGTATGTATGTATGTATCTATGTACCTGTATGTATGTAATGAGGCCACTGCCATAGTAAGGGCACAAGCACTACCACACCAAAAATTGAGTTACCACCACAGCAAGTTTCGACAAGGTTTCCTCTCTCACAAAGTGTGTCCTATGTGGATGACCCAGCATCTGTTGACCTATTGTGAGTGAAAGTGAGGTGGGTGAACCCGAGGCTGGGCCGTCACTGGCCAGTGAACGTCTGTGCAGGCCTCACACGTGTTAGAGCAATGTTGCAAAAAGGCTTCATAATGAAGGCAAGCTGTGGACCACGTGGTGGCAGCTGCACAACCTGCTATGTTTAAGGAAATAATTACTGAAAATGGTTACATGCCTGAGCAAGTGTTCAATGCAGATGAGATTGCTTAATGGTATAAGAGGATGCCCACATGCACATATCTCACCCAGGAAGAAAAGAGAGCCTCAGGTTTCAAAGGTTTTAGAGAAGCAGAAGATCAGGTTACACTACTTATGTGTGGAAATGCAGCAGGCTTTATAATAAAGCCTATGATGCTTTACCATTCCTGCAACCCCAGGGCATTTAAGGGGAAGGACAAGCAAAATCTTCCTGTATTTTACAGATCAAATAAGAAATCATGGATGATGGGACAACTGTTTATGGACTGGTTCCACAACTGCTTTGTATGTGAAGTAGAAAAGTACCTGGAGAAGAAAGGGCAGGAATTCAAGGTTCTCCACATTATTGACAATGCTTCTGGTCATCCTAAATCTGTTGAATTTGCAAACCCTAATGTTAAGGTGTTGTCCCCCTCCCCACCCCCACAAAAAAACACAACTTGTCTCATCCAGTCTTCCCCCACTCTCTTCACCAACCCTTGCCACCCTCATGGCCTGCTTCTCTCCTAACTCCACCGATACAGCTTCCTCACCTGCCAGCCCTTCATCGCACATTCTGGATGATCCCAGTCCAGAGGTCTTCAAGGAGGAACAATAATATCTTCAGTATCATTAATGAGGCCTCTACAGCAACCATTATATACATTAAAAGAAACACTGCTAATTATTTTGCTCCCATAATGCTGATATTACATTTATGAGAGGGATAAAATATATATTCTTCCCAGTCATAAGTTTGTTACAGGAAAACTAAATATTCAGTATGTACGCTCGTTTCATTCACAGTGTTGTGCGTTAGGCGAGCGTTCGTAAAAGGGTGCTGATGGCGCAGTGGTATGGTACGGGTCATGTGAGGCAGGCAGCAGACGACGCGTTGCTGCTACTCCAATCCAGTTGATTTCCTTAACATCACTCCACATTTACTCGCTTCTCATTTAATTTATATTTATTAACACATAATACAACGGTATAAAGTACATACATGTGTAGTATTTAGAGGGCTTAAATAATTTTTTTTTTAATTTTATTTATTTTTGGTCCCTAATTTATGGTACACTATAATATTAAAGATAAGGTGTAAAAGAACGCTATTTGTGAAATTCTACAATCACGGGTGTCCCAGGAACCTATCCCTCGCAAAAGTTGAGGTACTAGTGTATTTACTGTACAGTATATAGTAATACAGTACTGTACAGTATATACAAACAAACAAAATAGACCTATGACATACAGAATTCTCTTAACTGTAAATTTCCAATAACCAAATTTTGGAGAACCATCTTGTTTCTCCTCAAATGCCCTCTTGTTACTAGTGAAGTGAAAAAGTCTGAACCATGATACAGACTCAAAAATGTGCCTATATATACATATTTGGGAAGGTCTGTGATTTTCTTGGGTTTAGTATGGATGCCTTGTGGCTTAGGGGTAGCATGGCACAATGCCAAGTGGCTGAGCATCCCTCCATAATCCTCCCCTCCCCCGGTACTCATCAGTTATGATTTAAGGGATGTGTTAAGGCTTTTACTTATCAGGTGTGTGTGTGTGTGTGTGTGTGTGTGTGTGTGTGTGTGTGTGTGTGTGTGTGTGTGTGTGTGTGTGTAATAGTAATTATACGGTACCATTACATTAGTGTCAGTCAAGCCTTCAAGGAAGAAAGATGAAAGGATAAAGTGGTTAAACATGAAGAAAAAAATTGAATTAATGGAAAACTTGAAAATAGAAAACATTTGTACAACTTGTATCCATTCCTGGGTGGAAGAGTTTAACCCTTTTCACATAATTGTTTAATTTATCTGAGAACTACTTTTTACAAGGCCCATGTAACAATATTCAATTGTTTAGACTTGAGATGTTTTTCTTAGTACACTCAGAAACCTAGTTGGTGATTAAATGCAAGAACAACATAGCCTCTTGTTGTCTTAAGAAGTTCTCCCCACATGAAACATCTTGGCTGGAGAAGGTTGTGTGTAGTGCTTGTACAATACTACTCATTAAACATACATCTTTTGAGAGTTGATGTTTATGGAGGTTCTATAATTACAAACTACAAAAAGAGTTAGGCGTAACTTTGATCGAGTTAAAGGAAATATAAAAATTAAGTGTACTGTACTGTATAGTAATTCCTTATAAACAAAACTAAGCTTAGGGAAGAACTCATTATACTGTACAGTACTGTAATGGCTGCTAACCTTTAGAGGTAATTCATGCACTACTGTACTACCACCTTCTACTTCTCACCATTCCCCTGAAAACCTGCACATCTCACAAACTTTTTAAATATAAATATAAAATTAATTATCGATAACACAAATATTTATTAAATTACTGCTAATAAACATAAAGGTAAAGCAGATAATAGCACTAATTTAAAAGTGTGTGTGTGTGTGTGTATGTGTGTATTGGTGTGTGTGTGTACTGGTGTGTGTGTGTGTGTATATATATATATATATATATATATATATATATATATATATATATATATATATATATATATATATATATATATATATATATATATATATATATATATATATATATATATACACACATACATACATACATATATATATACATACATATATATATATATACATACAAATATATACAGTACATACATACGGTGATCCTCGGTTAACGAGCATTCCCTTGATTAACGAATTCCTTACGAGCGACCCTCAACATGTTTTCTCTTGCACACTAGCTGTCGCATTAGTCCGCCAATACAGTAATCGGTTCTAGGGCTTAAATTCCCTACTATTTTAGTAAATATCAATAAGTCTGTACTATTCAATAATTTTAAAAGTCTTATATTAAAATTTTTAGTCATTTTAACAATTACTTAACATAATTTAAGTACAGGGAAACTAGTTTTCAGCGTGCCAAACAGCCTGTCAACACACCATACAGGCGTCAGTCTCTGTGTCTTTTCAGTGGAGGTAACATCTTGCTTCAGACTCTCCAACATAAATGCTTTTTTTCTGTGTTTCCAGTCAAATTATTGGTCATTTTGAAATTTAATTTACATATTGACAATATTTAATGCAGTACAGTGTTGATTTAAAGAAAATAATCTTGAATTACACCAAGTGAACTAAAATTTTATGGGTGAAATGGCAGCATGGGGCGACTTCTCTTCCACCCCAATGCCTTCTCTTCTCCCTTCTCCTCCACCCCCATTCTAATTCCCATCATCATCATCATCAACCAGGAGCCTTCTACATGCACACCTCAAAGTAAGTGTACTTTACTGCATTTAATTTTAGTTTGTATGTAATTTTCGGTGAGCTGGAACCAATTACCCAAAAACCAATTGAAACAATGGTTGCGATTAACGAGCAACCTTCTGGAACGAATTGTGCTCGTTAACCGAGGGACCACTGTACCGCGTAACTAATAACTGGCGGGTCTGGACAGGTGACGCGTAAATGACCAACCGCGCATAAAAAATCTGCGTAAACCAAGACTATACTGTACAGTATATCAGATATTGTCATGCAGATAGATAGAAACTACCATTGCAATAATTATATATTTGCCAACAAGACATGATACTGTCAGCTTCTGTCCTCTTGTTTCACATTAATACAACCCATTTTGAATTGCTTCCCTCCCTTATATTAATGAATATCCACTCCACTGTAAAATTTGTACAGATACTCCTCGACTTACGACAACCCGGACATACGACTGCCGTGGTCGTATAAAATATTTTTCAAATTACGTATTTACTTGTACCGACGTTAGTGATCGCGCTGTGAACTGACAAAATTTTTGTTTGTAATTCCCTTTAAAATGGCTGGCAAGCTTAAAAGTGAGAGTTCTCGTGGTGCTGAGAAGAAAAAGAGACACCCACTTTCAAATTTCTGTGTATTATTTTCGCATTTTCGACTTACAACCAATTCGACTTTCGACCTGGTCGTCGGGATGGAACCCCGTCGTAAGTCGAGGAGAGACTGTATATACCCATAATAAAAAAAATAAATAAATAAAATTTATATAAAAAATAAATTAAGTGATAATATTCTGATATGCTCTTACTAACCGCATGTTACGTGTACTATTCCAGATGATAATAAATGTTACATAATACAGGTACTTCCATGAGAAAATGTACAATATATATCAGGTGCCTTCAAGAGAGCCAAGCTCTCAAGTGGCTCAGCCATGTCAATATTGTTATTATTATCGACCCTGTATCTGTATTTTTCTGGCTAAATAAACTGTTTCAATATCAATAAACTGATAACGATAGCAACAATGGTGTAGGAGATATACTGTACTTTGAGCATTCACTCGGACACTCAACACAGTGAATGATCGACCTCAACGTACAGTATGTCTCCTATGTCACTATTGTTATCAGTTTATGTTTTACAACTGTCAGTTCAGGTCGTAAAATGTCAATTATTGGCCTTCGTATGTCACCAACTGAAAAACTGTCCACTTGGGCTGAAAAATGCTGCATACTGTACTGTGTATCATGAGATCTCTTGGTAAACACCTCTGGCTCCTCACAACCAGGTTTTGATGACATGTATGATAAACAATTATTACTGAGAGAAACAATATGAATAGCAAGTTACTCACATGTGCTGTACTATAGTTTCCACCAAGTGTATATTGAAAGTCTCTTGTCAAGACTTATTGTACTGAAGACCCTATGTTTTAGTATGTGCTTCAGTGAGTTGTGTACTGTATCTACTAATTACCCACACAGGAGAGAAAGAGGATATACAGCATTTAAGAAGTAGCATGAAAAACAATATTGAGGTATATACTTACTTGAAGTTGTCTATCAAGTCATCATCGTTACTTTCCTGATCTTCCTTCCCTGACTCTCCCTCACTCACTGCTGCTGCCAATTTACTGCACACCAAAGCCATGCATTGTATTAAAATATTATAATAAACTACGAGTATACATTGGTTATTTTCAACTTGGTTAGATGCACTACAGAAAAAATAAATCCTTCTAGTTTTTACCACAGATGGAAGAATGATCTTTAAATGCTATTATCTAGCTAAGCAGCCATGGGGGTCCAGATAATGAGCATCCTGGGGAGCAGCACTCCTTGACAGACAGGTGGGGGCAACTGTTGCCTTTTCCTCCCCATCACAACTGTTGGACTTAAAAATCAAATTGATTGTAAAAATTGTGCTCAAAGAGGCAGGTCTAAAACACAGCCTTGTCTATTTGACCAGTACACTCATTATACAGCCACCTTGATTTCAGAGTTAATTCATCATTTGGGATTTAATTTTCAACTGATTACACTACCCCCCTGTAGACAGGAGGGTGTCTGAGGTGCCAGGCTGGAAAAAAGATTTTTAGGATCAATTCTCCATTTTCAGTTTGAAGCTTTTACTTCTCATGTTAGTGAGAGGTGGTGGACAAACATCCAACATAAGTTAACTCAACAGTACAGTATAAGGAAGGATGGATTACTGAAATATTTAACATTCCTGTATCATAAAGTTTCACAGTTGTGGCCAACAGACCCTCTCAATGATTTGTACGTGCTTGAAAATTTGGCATATTATTACCCTTATCAAAATACATTTACAAGCTGACCCCAGTTATACTAAAGTGAGATTTCAAGTCAAGACTCCCGAACTAAATCTTCCCAACATCCCAATTCAGAAAATACCAAAGAGAATGTGAACGTGTTCTCAGTAACCTGAAGTCAGACCCCACACCTGGTAAAATAAAACTGAGTTACACCCAGGGTAGTGCTGATATATGCTCACCTTTTGGGGAACCTAAGCCTGAGTTGTAGCTTGATGGGTTTGTGGGGATGACTATGTGAACGTATATATTTACACCTATCAGAGCCTAGTTACCTTATTTATAAGAGCTTAAGCTAGGCTAGAAGGGATGCTATTTCAAGATTTCTGGTTTTCCTGACACTATGTTAATAGCCGTACATGAGTCACTGTGTCAGTAATAATTTAGCCATACTGTTTACTGTTGATGATTTAAATAATATTAATACAACATATTTTCTTCCAAAAGACCATGAAATGTACTGTTTGGTGGACACAACTAGATCTTTTGTCTATATACAGCAACCTTTATTACCAATCTCCCTTTTACAGACAACAGTTGTGGTGGTAAGGAAGCGGTCAAACTGTACTACTGCACTCCACCCCCATAACATACATTAATAGAAGCCACCTGGACACAAATATAAAGCAATAACATCTAAAGCTATACCACCATCAAAGCAACACACAGTTATGTACACAAACATGTATTACGATCTGATAAAAACTTACCTAATATGCAAATAATTCTTTTCCATAAAGCTGATATAACCTACTGTATATGTTAGCTAAAACCTAACAACACACCTTTTTCCTGTCTAAGGGCCTTCATCTTAAAAGTTAAATAGTCATTCATTACTTCAACTAAAGAATTCCAGCTGCATACTGGAGAATGTTCCAGCTATATCCTGGAGAATGTTCCAGCTATATCCTGAAGAATGAGGTTTCCGGGACAATAAATTACCCCACAAGCTGCTAAATATGACTTGGAGAGAGATAGCATCAGAAAAAATGCTTCTCATTTTTTATAAGAGTACAGTAATGTACAGTAGAGGATGTCTCTGGGATACAAACAGGTTACATTCCAAAATATAATTCCTAAGTTGTTTGTGTGGAACTTAGCAATAATTTGTCTACTGTCCCCCCCTCCAAACTCAAGGAAGAGGTAGAATTCATTCTACTTCCCAATGGAAAAAGAAAATCTTCAAAGGTCACAGGATACCTCAATATTATTAAATATATCATGACTCAAGGATTCATTAATAAAAAATCCTTATAATCAAATATTAGCACAGTAAATTCTCTTGGAATAAAACTAGTGAAAGTTACATGCCTGGGCACCCTAACTGAGGACTCAAGTTCCCCCTAGGAAGTTGTCTTATGTTATAAGAGATGCCTGACTAACAGATACATCCCAAAACCACACCATTTATCAGAGTTCCACTGTACATATAGTGTATCGGAAAAAGTCTTAAACGTGTCCTTTCATCTGGTTGCCAGCATGCTGGTATCTTCTCCGAGTATAGTCAAGCTGGTGTATCTACTTTACAGTCAATGTATATGCCAAAGTAATAAGCCACTTCTGTACTGTTGTACTGTACTGTATTGTACTGTACTACCCAAATGATGAACGTTTTGTAAATAAAAATTAGTACATAAACAAGTGACATTACTGAAAGACCAAGCATGCACTACAACACACATTATCTATGTTAGTTGTATTAGAAATGAAGAACATGCAGTTTTTGTTATCCAAACAATAAATAAAACATTTATATATAATAATGCCACTTACCTATTTTGAGGTTCACCTGTAGGAGGAACAGTGTTCTTCTGGTCATCACAGTTAGTTTCAAAAGCCGAATCAAAATTCACATTAGAGAAATCTGCTTTGAAGGCCCCTTGGTTGGATGTAGTTTCACCAAAAACAGAATTTGAGCTATCTTGTTGTGCCACAGTTGGACCAAACACATTGGTGAAGTCAGCGGCAAACCCCTCCTTTTCAACTTTATGTGTCTGCCCGAATGCATCTACAGTGGGAGCACCGGAGAACACATTACCACCAAAGTCTGCCCAACCAGAATTATCTGAGGTGTCAGCCATGGGGGCAGACTGCCAGGGGTTGGCAGGCTCACTACTGCTGCCGCCCTCACCACCACTTGACCTCTTATCAAATACCTCTGCCCAGTCTGCAATTTACCAAATGTCTCTTTATTAAGAGGTACAACAATACACTTACCTCATTTAAATATAACATCACAAAGAACCTCATCTGTACTTGCTATATTAACAACTTTGTCAAGAGTCATATAAACCATCACATCAACTAAACAGCTGAATGATTACTCCCAAATGTGTAATGATAAGTAATTTACTTTCATTTAGTCATCAAATTTATGCAATATAAGACAAGATAACTTACCATCCTGATCAACTTCCATTTTGGTCTCTCCTGATCTTAGCCCAGTATTAAACTCCTCCTCTTCCTCCTCTTCTGAACTAGACCCAGGCTCCTTCTCCTTATCACTGCAACATAAGAGAATCTTAGTATACACAAATAATGACTGTACTTTTAATAGAAATGGAGGACTGATGCCTCAAATACCATTTTATGATTAATAACATAGTACAGTAATGACTCACACTAAATTAGTTAATCTTATCTACTGCACCTTGTTAGACTGGCCAGGAACTAACACCACTATAATTATTTTTATTAAAAAGTGAAGAGAGTGAGTGATGTTGCCTACACCTCACTCATTATAAGATGGGGTTACCACACTTGTAACCGCTACATTATCTCTTATATATACAGCAGGAGAGCGTACCACTGAAGCATCAACTAACTACATTTTAAATTATAAAATGAGATTTCAGCAGAGAATCCTCCATATATGATCATAAACTCCATTCATGACCCAGGTTTATGAGCAGCAGCTAAATGTCTGGAGGTGGTATAAATCCATCCAACTGGGAAGATTCATTACCAACATAATAAATACAAAAAGATTACAATACCCTTACATAATTCTCACACAATATATTGTACTGTATTAATAATGTAGACCTTATCCAAAGATATTATTTCTCACAGCAGTAAAATGTTTGAAGTAAACCCAGCCCTAAATAAAGGCTCAAAAACATACTTTACTATAAAACATAAGCATAAAGGCCTTTGTTCACATAATTTAGATAATAAAAAACATTATAAAAAGAGTCATTTTTTACCAATCTTTTTGTATAGAATATGTACCAATATGTTATAACCAACTTATGAGGTAACATGTTGAATATGTACCAATATGTTATGACCAACTTATGAGGTAACATGTTGAATATGTACCAATATGTTATAACCAACTTATGAGGTAACATGTTGAATATGTACCAATATGTTATAACCAACTTATGAGGTAACATGTTGAATATGTACCAATATGTTATAACCAACTTATGAGGTAACATGTTGAATATGTACCAATATGTTATAACCAACTTATGAGGTAACATGTTGAATATGTACCAATATGTTATAACCAACTTATGAGGTAACATGTTGAATATGTACCAATATGTTATAACCAACTTATGAGGTAACATGTTGAATATGTACCAATATGTTATAACCAACTTATGAGGTAACATGTTGAAGATGTACCAATATGTTATAACCAACTTATGAGGTAACATGTTGAATATGTACCAATATGTTATAACCAACTTATGAGGTAACATGTTGAAGATGTACCAATATGTTATAACCAACTTATGAGGTAACATGTTGAATATGTACCAATATGTTATAACCAACTTATGAGGTAACATGTTGAAGATGTACCAATATGTTATAACCAACTTATGAGGTAACAGGAGTCACTTGGATCATCACAGCATCAATCTGGTAGAGATGTGCAGTACTATACTGTACAGTACAGTACAATACTGTACAGTACTGTACTGTACTGTACTGTACTGTACTGTACTGTACTGTACAGTACTGCACTGTACTATACTGTACTATATTGCAATGCACTATACTATACTGTAGTAAAGTAAAACACTCACTTGTTTGACTGTAGTGATTCTTGGTTAAATGTTATTTCCTTCTCTTTATCACTCCACATGTCATCAAACTCATTCATGTCTTGACAACGGTGTGCACACATCTCCTCAAACAGGTCGTGATCTTCAGGTACTCCGCCTTCTCCTCCCCCTTCAATTCCATGAACTCCTGGAGGTCCTCCAGTTCCCATCCCAGATGCTCCAGAGAGAGCCAGGGCTTGGGTACTTAATCGTTGCAGAGGCCCACTGTAAACACACAAGTTCATTAAAACTGTAATGTGTATTGTACTGTACTTACTAATCTGAGCTTCATAAGGTTAATTCAAATACTTACTGATGATATACAAAAGAACCTCAATATCCACAGGGGCTAGGTTCCAAAAAACCTGCAAATGCAAAAATTGTGAATATGGAAAAAAAAAGGTTAGGTGCCTGGTATTGTACTGTACGATTAAACATAGGGGATAAACAATAAATGTTTAAAGACAATGACTATGATAAACATTGCCCTTGTAAAGAATAATATTCTATAAAAAGTAATTTGCTGTATACTTACCTCTGACAATGATGATGATTTGAGGTGTTGTGTGTTGAGTGCATGAATTACGTTTCAGAAAGTGTGAGTCAAAGGTTTACAAAAGTGAATAGCAATCCATTATTATATACAAAACAGTAAAACAGGTTGACAACCCCTTATACGAAATTCCGAAAACCTCTGAAAACTGAGTTTTTTAATGGGGCAAAACATATTTTATTGAATTTGTTTTCTTTTTTAGTAGGGATTGGCCTACCCGAGCACAGGTCACTGACCCACATCGAGGCCTGGGGGCGAAAATTTAATAAAAATAATTCATAGTAAATAAAATTTATAATGAAAAATACACAAAAATAGAATAATAATGATAATAATAATAACAACAATAACAAAAAAATAATAATAATAAAATAATAATATTAATAAAATAATAATAATAATAATAAAATACAGTAATAATAATAATAAAATAATAATAAAAATAAAATAATAATAATAATAAAGAAGCACAAGAATGAAAAAATTATCAAAAACGGGAAACGACCTAGACCTATGAATTATTATTATTATTATTATTATTATTACATTTTCGCCCCCCAGGCCCCAATTTGGGTCGGTGAGCTGTGCCCGGGTGGGCTGATCCCTGATGAGGAAAAAAAAAAAATAAATAAATAAAAACCCCTAACCATTATGAAATCCGAAACACATCTGGCCCCAAGGATTTCGGATAAGGGAGTGTCAACCTTGTACTGGACTGTATTTCCCTCCTTTTCCCACATGTTTCGATCTCTGACAAGATTAACCTGACACACTAGACTGTAAATCACTACCAGAAAAACTTTATGAAAGCCGTCCCACCTCCCCAAAAAAAAAGAACCGATGAAAACAAATGCAGGCGCATCACCAAGACTGTGCTGGACACTGAATGTTCACAATGACCTAAATCCAAGAAACATTTTTATTATTTTTTTTTTTGCTGTAATTTCATTGAATTATTAATTTTCTACATTATTAGCCATACAAACTGGCATAGCTCTAAGTCATTCCCTTAAGTGGTGTATACGAGGCATTTTCAAGCTGTTTTTCATATTCTACACGTACAGTACAGTACAGTACTGTATGTACAGTGGTGGACTCAGCAGGTAGGGAGGGCAGTTTTATTATGAAAAGAGGCAGAGTTACACAAACAAAACTAACTCAATACTAGGTATCAAAAAAATAAATAAATAAAAAAATAAAAAATGTCATAGAGGTTTAATGTTTGAGGAGACTTTTCACCGACACCCTGCCGGTACGTTGCCAAGTCTCTACCTACTGTACATCCCTCTACCCTCCCATTCACCACCTCCCTCCCTACACAGGTCTTTTTGTCCACAACTGTAAATTTACTGTATAAAGGCGTAAATGGGTAAAAGTACTTCAGAGGTTTCACTCCCAATATGCTTGGATTTTAACCCCTTGAAAACTAGGGGTTGGGGTCATCATCGCTGGAGAGGTATACAGTACAGTGGCCCCTCGGTTAACGAAATTTCAATTAACGAATTACTTTCCATAAGAATCTTCATTTCGGTTAACGAATTTCTTACAAAATTGTTTCAACATGCTTTGGCTTGCTCACCAGCTGGAAGATTAGTCCGCCAATACAGAAGTCGGTTCTAGGGCTTACATTCGTTAAAATTGGAGTAAATATCAAGAAGGTTGTACTTTTCAATAATTTTCCAAGTTTTATATTAAAATTTTTAGTCACTTTAACACTTATTTAACATAATTGCAGTACAGGGAACTAGTTTTTGGTGCGCCCATCAGCCACTTCACTCACCCACCAAGGCCTCAGTTTGTATCTCTGTTCAGTGGAGGAAACATCTTGCTTGTGGGTCTCTTGAACACAGAGTATTTTTACGTTTTTATAGTACAATTACGGTATTGGTCATTCTGAAATTTATTTCACATATTGACAATATATAGTGCAGTGCAGTGTTAATTTAAAGAAAATAATCTTGAATTACACCGAGAGAACTTAAAATTTTATGGGTGAAATGACAGCATCAAGCATGAGGTGATTTCTCTTCCACCCCCACTTCTAATTCCCATCATCAGCCATGAACCTTCTACATACACACCTCAAAGTAAGTATACTTTACTGCATTTTTTTTTTTTACTTTGTATGTAATTTTCGGTGAGCTGTAACCAATTACCAAAAATCCCATTGAAACAATGGTTTCGTTAACGAACGACCTTCTGGAACGAATTGTGTTCGTTAACCAAGGGACCACTGTACTGTATACATTTACTCAATCACAACTATGAAAATTTCAAGAATCCAGAAACTGCCAATATTGAAGGCTAATTGTGATACGGGCAGAGTTTGATACCAGAATGATCCTCAATAAATTCTCTGAGACGTTTCCAATAATATATCCTTAAATGAAATATTTTGATACGATATATTGATGGGAATTCCATTCTTTTATAAAAAAAAATAAAAAAATAATAAAAAATGTTGATACCAGAGTAAAAAAAAAATCAGTCCTAATTTTGTTAGACACACCATTTTTTATCAAAATAATCCTGAATACTTTATCTAAAAGTTCGGTGAAATAAATATACAGTATTTTAAGAAACGAAAGCTCTACATGATACAGGCATGAATAGAGCTGTTACAGCAATAAGTGTGGTATTTTCAAAGAGTAAACGATGCAGCTCGTAGCAGCTGTAGTTATTTATGCAAACACCACTGTACACATACAATATTGTTCAAACTGTAAACACAATTAATGTATACTACTGTATATATTGTAGTCACCAGCAGATCTTGTCATCTTTAACCTGGAGTAGGCAGACACGGTCATGTTATTAACCTGACCTGATGCAATGTAAGGTCACCCACTGTTGGGTGGGGGATTAGTGGGTGTTATGACCTGAAGATGTCTTGAATAACATTATTCTTTACCTATGAGGTATATACAAAGTACTGTACTGTATTGTATATGAAGAGTACAGGTATTAATAAGCACAGATTATTACAGTAACATATCTTTACTAATTAATGAAACACAAATAAACAATATTGTATCATGAATGAGGCAGTAAGGTACTGTAGTTGGTGACAAACAATCAGTGAGGCAACCCTTAGCGGGGAGAGAGGAAGAGGGGGCAGTGAATAATTTTTAGTATAAACATCCCATAGTTTGTACTAGACATAAAAACTTTAGCAATTAACTCAGTACGTCTGAGTACAGGTTGTGATAATTTATGCGGTTGCTCAGTAGTTGTGGTTGCAGTTGTGAAGCTTCGTGAGATCACTAGTGTATAATTTGTCTCCATATGCCCTGGTTTATTCACTCATCAGTTGAGTTATCATGTATCAATTAATTAAAAAAAAGAAATTATAAAGTAAAATGTTATAAGACAATGGTTTAGTAGTGCTGTTAATGTGCAAGTGTCTTGGCATGTCACCTCACCCTTTGCCTCGTTAGCTCAGCTCGGAATTACATTGACTTATTACTGTATTATTTAACATTTTAGTATTGTATGTACAATTAAAGAAAAATTTATATTTGCACACTAATTTTAATTAAACCCAGAGCAGAAAAATCCAGTGTTACCCAAGCGGTTGGTCTTTCCACCCACGTACCAACCAAGTTTGGATGCGGCTAAACATGATGCAGTCTTTCATAACACCGGGAACCCTGAGCAGAAAGGTTTGGAGTGATTTTTTCAAAATTTTCTCCAATTTTCCAGTAATTGCGGATTATTCCATAATTGATATTTGCTCCCAGATCCAGAAATAAAAATTAGGACAGATTTTCCAGATTTTTTCCTTTCTTTTTCAGAAAATGCTCCTGATTTTCAACCTCGAAATTTGTTCCCAAACCCAGAATTTAGGGATTTTTCCGGAAAAATTCTGAGCAAATTTCAAACCCATCTTCCAAGTGGGAGCTGGGAGTGTTAACCACTGCACCACAAGGACTCTTAAAAGTTAACCTACACTTTGTTACACATGAGATACATCTCCACTTACCTCAGATTAATTATATATCATTGTGATCTTTGTTCTAATCATCAGCAGATAACATGAGAATCATCTACACTTACCTCAGATTAATTATCATTGTGATCTTTGTTCTAATCATCAGCAGATAACATGAGAATCATCTACACTTACCTCAGATTAATTATCATTGTGATCTTTGTTCTAATCATCAGCAGATAACATGAGAATCATCTACACTTACCTCAGATTAATTATCATTGTGATCTTTGTTCTAATCATCAGCAGATAACATGAGAATCATCTACACTTACCTCAGATTAATTATCATTGTGATCTTTGTTCTAATCATCAGCAGATAACATGAGAATCATCTACACTTACCTCAGATTATCATCAGGATCCTTGAACTCATCATCAGCATAACGGAAATCACCGATAACATCCATATCCATCTCCTTAAAGCCCTGGAAATATACAATACTTCACTGTTACTTCTTCTTCTTCTTCTTCACGAGATAAATAATAAAAATAAATTATTATCATCAAATTGAATAATTACATATTAAGTAAGTTAATCTGTGAATCATTAACACTGAAAATTAACCTATTTATTAAATATATAAAAATAATGAAGTAATTTCAAATTGGGTATTGTTTATAAAATGCTAGTTAAGCCATTATCACAATGAATCAAAACTAAGTTGGTAGAAGAACAAAACATAAGAATAAATTTCATATTGGGAAGCTTTACCACAGTGGCCATGTTGAATTATTCTCCAAAATATCTAATTTCTTGACTAACACTGTACTTCTCACCAATTACAAAATACACTCAATATTATTACCCTATTTTATTCAATAAAACTATTATTATATGTATACTGTACAGTCAGCCCAAAAAACTATCTGTACTTGGGGGAGAGGGGTTGATGAATGAACACTAACTCTTGGTATGCAGCAAGGTTGTCAAAATCCTTCGCCTGTTGTGTCATATTTTCTCAACACAGTTTTGTGTAGATAGTTTTTTTAAGTGACTGTACATAGAGATATAAATTAAAAATAATAATAAAAAAAAATAAAGAAATAAAATAGTGGAGAGGCTGCAGGTCCCAGTTATTACCAAGGTAAAGTTATTGTACAGTACTATAGTGGACACATTGACTGGGAAGCTACAGAGTGGGTTTTAAGAGCTATACAGTACAGTACAGTACAGCAAAGTACAGTAAAGTACAGTAAAGTAAAGTACAGTATGGTACAGTACAGTAAAGTAAAATAAAGTAAAGTACAGTACAGTACAGTACAGTACAGTAAAGTAAAATAAATTAAAGTACAATATGGTACAGTACAGTAAAGTAAAATAAAATAAAGTACAGTATAGTACAGTACAGTAAAGTAAAATAAATTAAAGTACAATATGGTACAGTACAGTAAAGTAAAATAAATTAAAGTACAATATGGTACAGTACAGTAAAGTAAAATAAATTAAAGTACAATATGGTACAGTACAGTAAAGTAAAATAAATTAAAGTACAATATGGTACAGTACAGTAAAGTAAAATAAATTAAAGTACAATATGGTACAGTACAGTAAAGTAAAATAAAGTAAAGTACAGTACAGTACAGTAAAGTAAAATAAAGTAAAGTACAGTACAGTACAGTAAAGTAAAATAAAGTAAAGTACAGTATGGTACAGTACAGTAAAGTAAAATAAAGTAAAGTACAGTATAGTATAGTACAGTACAGTACAGTAAAGTACAGTAAAGTAAAATAAAGTACAGTATGGTACAGTACAGTAAAGTAAAATAAAGTAAAGTACAGTATGGTACAGTACAGTAAAATAAAGTAAAGTACAGTATGGTACAGTACAGTAAAATAAAGTAAAGTACAGTATGGTACAGTACAGTACAGTAAAATAAAGTAAAGTACAGTATGGTACAGTACAGTAAAATAAAGTAAAGTACAGTACAGTACAGTACAGTAAAGTACAGTACAGTACAGTAAAATAAAGTAAAGTACAGTATGGTACATTACAGTAAAATAAAGTAAAGTACAGTACAGTACAGTACAGTACAGTATAGTAAAGTAAAGTACAGTACAGTACAGTAAAATAAAGTAAAGTACAGTATGGTACAGTACAGTAAAATAAAATAAAGTAAAGTAAAGTACAGTACAGTACAGTACAGTACAGTACAGTACAGTAAAGTAAAGTACAGTATGGTACAGTACAGTACAGTACAGTACAGTACAGTAAAGTAAAGTACAGTACAGTACAGTACAGTAAAGTAAAGTACAGTATGGTACAGTACAGTACAGTACAGTACAGTACAGTACAGTACAGTACAGTACAGTACAGTACAGTACAGTACAGTAGTTTCAGTGCCAAATATTGAAGACTTTACTCTAAGGCAGTCAATGACATCATTGGGAAATAATTTAAACACTGAGATAGCAACAACTTAAGCATAGAGTTACACGGATCACAACAGTTACAGTGATACATGAGTGTGGTGGAAGAACAGTTACAGTGATACATGAGTGTGGTGGAAGAACAGTTACAGTGATACATGAGTGTGGTGGAAGAACAGTTACAGTGATACATGAGTGTGGTGGAAGAACAGTGATACATGTGTGGTGGAAGAACAGTTACAGTGATACATGAGTGTGGTGGAAGAAGTTACAGTGATACATGAGTGTGGTGGAAGAACAGTTACAGTGATACATGAGTGTGGTGGAAGAACAGTTACAGTGATACATGAGTGTGGTGGAAGAACAGTTACAGTGATACATGAGTGTGGTGGAAGAACAGTTACAGTGATACATGAGTGTGGTGGAAGAACAGTTACAGTGATACATGAGTGTGGTGGAAGAACAGTTACAGTGATGCATGAGTGTGGTGGAAGAACAGTTACAGTGATACATGAGTGTGGTGGAAGAACAGTTACAGTGATACATGAGTGTGGTGGAAGAACAGTTACAGTGATACATGAGTGTGGTGGAAGAACAGTTACAGTGATACATGAGTGTGGTGGAAGAACAGTTACAGTGATACATGAGTGTGGTGGAAGAACAGTTACAGTGATACATGAGTGTGGTGGAAGAACAGTTACAGTGATACATGAGTGTGGTGGAAGAACAGTTACAGTGATACATGAGTGTGGTGGAAGAAGTTACAGTGATGCATGAGAGTGGTGGAAGAGCAGTTACAGTGATGCATGAGTGTGGTGGAAGAACAGTTACAGTGATACATGAGTGTGGTGGAAGAACAGTTACAGTGATGCATGAGTGTGGTGGAAGAACAGTTACAGTGATACATGAGTGTGGTGGAAGAACAGTTACAGTGATACATGAGTGTGGTGGAAGAACAGTTACAGTGATACATGAGTGTGGTGGAAGAAGTTACAGTGATGCATGAGAGTGGTGGAAGAGCAGTTACAGTGATGCATGAGTGTGGTGGAAGAACAGTTACAGTGATACATGAGTGTGGTGGAAGAACAGTTACAGTGATGCATGAGTGTGGTGGAAGAAGAAGTTACAGTGATACATGAGTGTGGTGGAAGAAGAAGTTACAGTGATACATGAGTGTGGTGGAAGAACAGTTACAGTGATACAAAAGAACACATACTGAAGGTGTGAAGAGAAACGGAGGCTGATGAGAACAAATACAAAACAATTTATAAGTACAAAAAGAACAAAAGTATGAGCTATTACATAGGTTACAAAGGGAAGCTTTTACCACAACTTATTGTTAGGATGATGGGTAATGGATCATGTGTTCTGCTGTCACACGCATGTCCGTAACATGACAATACACAGTAGAGTACTGTACTGTACTGTACTGTCTAAGGGGTTATTTCACTTTATAAGAGAATACAGTACATACAATATAGTTACCAGACAAAACCATCATTCATTATCTGTACACATCTTCCTTATCATGAAAGATCTACATTAAAGAGAATCCTGTATACTGCTCTTATACAAAAAATTACATTAAAATAAATGCTTCAAAGGAAAATTAATTGTCACATTTGAATGATATTTTCCTCACATATCAATAATAAAGTACGTACTAATGAAGTAATGTGAAAAATATCTTCGTTTATTTCTTTATTGAGTAAAAGAAATGGACTTCCTTCTACAGTAGTGAGAGAGGAGCAAGCACACATGTCTAGTCTGCAAGTCTACTGTATAATGCCTATGATCTAAAAACAGATAAATTCATTAATGAGATTATCTTTCACTTTCATTGCAGAGTCCTGAAGGATATCATCAATTTAGTAAGTAAGGTATTCTCAAATGAAAGGTTTGAGTGTTACTGCGAGCAAAATATGATTTGCTTCTTTGTTAACATTAGTTGTCAGGTGCTCAAACCTGATCAACCACCCCAGATCTCAGCATCTCCAATCTCAACTCAGATATAAAATGAACTTTTGCTGCACTGTATAGAAGGAGAATGAGAGCTTAGGTACTTGATCTGGCATCACCATTTTATAACAATTCTCATGTTATGTTCACAATAAAAATCTTTAATTTCTACAGTACAGTACCTCTTTATGTTTCTGAACCCGGTTACGGCAGTGAAAGATAATGTTCAGTTAATATTGGAGATCTCTGTCACAAGTTTGGACCAGGAGTAACAACTTTTAGATCTGTTCACTATACTATACAGTAACACACACATATACACAGATAGATGCACGCACACATGCGCACGCGCGCGCACACACCATCTGTGAGGGAGTTACTACACTACGTGTTTGCTGTTCAACACCTACATTAATCTGTATGTTCACTGAATGTTCCTTTACCTTTCTCTAATGAAGGCTTTTGTTAAACTACCAATGTCAATGTATGTAATAAGTCAATTATGTCCAATGTATATTTTCAGCCTTCGGGCTGCAGAACTTTTTCAATAAACCGTTTATTATTATTATTATTATTATTATTATTATTATTATACACACACACACACAAAATAAAAATAATGGTTGCCTCTCATGTAACGAGGATGGTTGACCCAAGGGCCACCAAAGTTAACAAGTTGCATGACCCAATGTCAAGGAATAGTCTAAGAAGACCGGACAACTTGCCAACTGCACTGGCTAACCATTACCCCGGAATACGATCTGCAAATCGATTAACATCCAGGTTCCCAATTACTGCTGGGCGCACACGCACACACACAACACAAAACACACACACACACACACAACACACACACACACACACACACACACACACACACACACACACACACACACACATGCATACAAACATGCAAACACACCACACACACATGCATGCACACACACACTCACACATATATTCAATTATAAAACTCTTTGTATGGGTTGTAGTGTATGACCTCAGTTGATGATCCACACAAAACCCTCCCAAGACTACCAAATATTGCCTGAATTTCCTTAAAAATAACAAGTTAGAGTGTGGTGCTACACTACAGGTA